ACAAGCGGAAACAGTCTGAGGCATTCCATGCTGTCAGTCATACTGAAGTTTATGCGTGGCTGCACCCAGTACCATCAACACACAGGGCAGCTAAGATGTGCCTAGACCCAGAACTGTTTGAGGACACATCTAGGGTAGAACCAAGTAACAGTTTGTTTGTATTTTTACACTGAGGGGCTACAAGTCCCCTGGACACTGTCCACTGTTTCATCCATCTGCCTGCCTCTGGTTGCGTTGCTGTTCAAGCAGTCGCTCCAAGGGGGAAGGTCCTGTATTGGACCACATGCCCTGAAAATACAAGACAATTGAGTTTTCTGAAGAATAAAACTGATTGCTCTAAAAATTCAAGAAAACTGAGTTTTCTGAAAACATTAAAAAAAAAAACTAAAATCTCTTAAAATACAAGAAAATTGAGATTTCAGAAAGCAGAATAAAACTGAGTGCTCTAAAAATACACACACACTTACCCGAGTGTTGTTTAAAAAAAAAAAAAAGAAAGAAGGAAAAAAAATTTGAGTGCTCTAACAATACAAGATTACTACTACTTCTTCTTCTTAGCATTCACCTGCTGTACATTCCGGTGGAAAGTTCAGGTTGTTCATCCACTTCTGGACTTTAGACGTGTTCCAGAACCTGAGTTTTGCATGCACACCCATTTGACAGCTCTGGCTTATTTATGTGCAGACTGTTGATTCGTTGCCCCTCAGGCAAATGCACTCTGGCCTTGAAGGAATTGCTGCTAGTTATTCGCCTTTTACAGCTTACTTGTTAGGGGTGCAGTGGTCTATTCCCCCCCCCCCCCCCACTAAAAAAAAGGGGACAGGAAGCCACAAGGAGACTAACTTATTCTACAAATAAAAGCAACGTTTGTATTCTATAAATAAAGGTTACATGTTCTACATTCACGGGAGATGGTGGTCTCAAAGCAAGGCATCCGCCTCGAGTGGTAGAGGTCCCGGGTTTAAGCTCCGGTGAAGGCTGGGATTTTTCTTGTGAACTTTTAGTAATTTCCCCTGGTCTATGGGTAGTAAGATCGGGTGCCCGTGTGTATTGTTGTGCACTTAAAAAAAATCCCTTGGCATTTGGAAATCGAAAAGAGTAGCCTAACGGCACTGCTGGGCAAAACAATCGGAGTTAAAAAATATACCCAAAGTATTTTAGAATCCTCTCTGGTGCTACGGAGTTTGTGCACTGCGCTGAGATTCTTCGGACTCAGGCTTGAGTCAGAAGTAGAATGGAGCACTTATGGGTTACTACCCTTGTGCCATGATGTTGATCCGTCATCTAAGCCTAAACCTAAGTACACACAACTTAACAACACAGGCTGAAAACTGTGAAAAACTATTTTTATCAAATTCTTGCAACCCGCTCACCTGCATGTTGACGCTGATGTCTGTGTGAACGGTGTTACTTGACAGAAGCTGACCGGCCCCCATTTGTGCCACTGGCCCAGAACCTACGAAATAGAATGGTACAAAATAAACAGTTGAAGAGTATTCCTTATCTATTGTATCTATTTCTTCCCCTTTTCTCATTTATCTTATTGTAGTCAATGTTATCAAGTCTGTGCATAGAGTTCTTGACACATTAACTGATTTGTGTGTACTTTAGTCTAAAGACTTGTGTAAAGAATGCTTTTATTTACATATTTATATTCGCAAGAATATGTTTGCAGAATAAACATGTAACAATTTACACCAACAGAACACATGGTTTGGACAGTATCAAAACTATCACCTGACAGTGCACCACACTGAACCTCCCAATACAGTTATAGTGATCAACAGTTGTGAACCTCCCAATACAGTTATAGTGATCACCAGATGTAAACTTCCCAATAGAAAGAAATATTCCCTGAACTAAACTGATCATGGACAGAAATTACTTGTGACTGCAACAAAAAGCAAATGTTCATATCTAGGGTTATAGACATAGACATTTTTCATTAAAAATCCATTGTGATCTGTTGTGATCAGCAGTTCTGAACCTCCCAATACAGTTATAGTGATCACCAGTTGTGAACCTCCCAATAGTTATAGTGATCACCATTTCTAAACCTCTCAATAGTTATAGTGATCACCATTCCTGAACCTCCAAATACAGCTACAGTGATCTCCCAACACAGTGATCACCACGTTTATTTTCCATCATCTGCCTCCCATAACTCAGATCGGAGTGCTAAACATATTCTCTATGCCAAATGAAGTTCAGACATTAACATGAATGTTCACAAATACTTATTGCATCTAGCATAAGACCAAGAGGAAAGACTTCACTGCAACATGTGTTACCCTACTGACTTCACTGCAACATGTGTTACCCTACTGACTTCACTGCAACATGTGTTACCCTACTGACTTCACTGCAACATGTGTTACCCTATTGACTTCACTGCAACATGTGTTACCCTACTGACTTCACTGCAACATGTGTTTCCCTATTGACTTCACTGCAACATGTGTTACCCTATTGACTTCACTGCAACATGTGTTACCCTACTGACTTCACTGCAACATGTGTTACCCTACTGACTTCACTGCAACATGTGTTACCCTATTGACTTCACTGCAACATGTGTTACCCTATTGACTTCACTGCAACATGTGTTACCCTATTGACTTCACTGCAACATGTGTTACCCTATTGACTTCACTGCAAAATGTGTTACCCTACTGACTTCACTGCAACATGTGTTACCCTACTGACTTCACTGCAACATGTGTTACCCTATTGACTTCACTGCAAAATGTGTTACCCTACTGACTTCACTGCAACATGTGTTACCCTACTGACTTCACTGCAACATGTGTTACCCTACTGACTTCACTGCAACATGTGTTACCCTACTGAATTCACTGCAACATGTGTTACCCTAATGACTTCACTGCAAAATGTGTTACCTTAATGACTTCACTGCAACATGTGTTACCCTATTGACTTCACTGAAACATGTGTTACCCTAATGACTTCACTGCAACATGTGTTACCCTACTGACTTCACTGCAACATGTGTTACCCTACTGACTTCACTGCAACATGTGTTACCCTACTGACTTAGTCACTCTATGCAAAAAGGAGCACCTACCGAAAACATCGCTCAAAGCGTGATCATTATAGCTGAGGAGACAATACACAGGGATCTCCATTCAAAGAAAAAATAACTGCTCTTATGTTTCAACATAAACGGTCCATATCTTTGAGAGCAAATTCTTCATTAGTCACCTTTTGTGACATGCTTGTTAGGAGCCAGTGTCCAACCCTACCCCACCCCCAGAACCTACAGAATGACAAAGTCTTATTTTAAGACTGGTGTCTTCAGACAAGACCAGACAAAAAGACATACCTTTAGACTGTGCTGTCTTTAACTGAGTCGGTGTGGACTTCACCAAAGTCGTCGGCCAGGCAGGGGAGCTGTTATTGCTGAACAAAGTGTACTCTCCACTGGCCTGTAGGAAGGGTGGGTCCATAACCGCACGGATCATTGACTGCTGGGCCTGGGCAGCTTGCTTGTTTGCTTGCTGTTGCTGCTGCTGTTGTCTGAGACCACAATGATAAGAAGACAGAAAAAAGGAACATATGATGTAAAGGCAAACTTCACTAACATGGATTCCCTGTGTGGGTTCTGGTGCCCTATTATAGGGAAAAAAGAAAAGACCCACTGCCTACCCAAATGCATGTCGACAAATTGGGAGCTTCCTTAGAAGTCAGAGTGCATCTGCCTGAGAGACAAGAAACCAGCAGTCTGCAGACAAATGAGTCAGATATGTGAAACAGATACACACGCAACACTGAGGTTCTGGAACAGGATTACAGTACAAAAGTGGATGAACAACCAGAACTTTCCCCCAGAGTTTACAGCTGGTGAACGCCAAGAAGAAGAAGAACTAACATGGATGCCCAACAGTTTGATCTTAAATGTGTCAGTTTATGTCCTCAACTGTGATAAGCTGCCTAGTGCCCTTCCCAGCTCTGTGGGTCATTTCTTGTCCAGTTTGCATATTCTTCTTCCTATGTTCACCAGTTGTTTTCTTCTTCTTCTGAATAACTAGTCTGCCTTCTCGATATGGGACACAATTTTTCGTTATTTTAAAACCTCACCCGGGTTGTAATCGGGGGCCCTAAAATAACCTAACGGTTGAACAGGGTTTCTGGGACCTCTAGTGATCCTCATCCACATGGTGGCTTTTTGTGTCACTGGGTGTTTATCGCTTGGTGGATGTCCTGGTTGAGTTGAATCTCATCTTCTTCTTCTCTATTGACTGGCTGTAAGCTCTAGCAGAAAGTACTGGCTGTCTGTCCATCTGCACTTGGGCTTTGAGCCAGGGCCTGAGTTTTGCATGTACATTTATTGGTTCACTGGTGTGCAGTTGGTTGTCCTTTGCCACTCGGGCAGATGCACTCTGACTCCTAAGACATGCTTGTTGCAGAGGCACTGGTTGTAAACTTCAATGGAAAGTTCTTGTTTGTTCACTGACTACTGTAATTTAGTCTTCTCCTAGAACTTGAATTCTGCATGCACATCTATTTTACAGATCTGACTTATTTGTATGGAGGCTGTTGGTTCCTTGCCTCAGGCAGACACATGCTGACTTCAACAGAAAATGGGATTCCAGAACTCATACTAGAAAACAATATTCACTAAAGTGGAAAACTTTGTTTCTGTAAATGAAAATTACACAGGCTAAAGAAGAGACAGCAGCCCCTGTGAAGCTGTGGCTAGAGCCTCACATGCCAGCCTGAAGATCTAGGATTTAAATCCATATCGGGGGGAATTTGTTTTAGATAACTTGATCTTCTGAATGACTCACCTAAAAAGGGTTACCAGGGTAACATCCTGGGAAATAAAGGTGGCCGGCAGGATGCTGATATCTATATTGCTTTCTGACTTTTGTTTACATCTCCAGTACTTTATAACTTATTGTTCACATCTATTGTGTCTTAAATTTTTTACAATTTATTATGTCCTCAGCAGAACACATAAACTCCACTCTAATACTTACAGATATGGACCAGCTGCGTTTCCACCCTTTTCAGGTTTTGGTGTTCCCTGGCAAATGGAAGATTTTTGTATGTAATTAGATGGTTAATATACAAAAAAAATATTGTACTATTAGCAGCAACAGTGGTAACAGCAGTGGTAGTTTCAGCAGCATTAGTAGTGGCCACTGCAGCAGTTGTGGTGGTGTTAGCAGTAGTAGTAGCGGTAGTAGTAGCAGCAGTGATAGTAATAAATGAAGCAGCTGCATCAGTAGTTGTAGTAGTAGCAGTAGTAGTAGTAGTAGCAGTTATATTAGTAACTGCAGCAGATTCATCAGCAGTTGAAGTGGTGGTAGCAGTAGTAGTAGTAGTTATAGCAGCAGTGGTAGTAGTAGCATGGGTAGTTGCAGTAGCAGAACTCACCATAGTAGTAGCAGCAGTAGTAATAGTAGTAGCTACTTCAGTAAAATTTTTAAAATGCCCTCTTCACCAATAAAACCAGCACAGTTAGATAGCTGTAAACAATTTCTTTCCAATGGTACCTCATTTAGGCTTGTATGTCATTTCTGAGCTGAGATATGTAGGTTTTTGTGGAGATGAGATGTAAGAAACAGCCGCTAAAACTTGTGACCCAGAAACAAGAAGTTTTTTGACTGCGCAACCTACTGCGCAGTTCTGTATCGGCTTTGTTTACATTGGACTGTCATTGGACAAGATGGCAGGCAATGAGACATAGCCACTGGCTGAGCCAGCGATTGCCTGAAAAATGTCACTGTACATCTACCTAGCCACCGTTCAGAAAGAAATTTTATACACATATGTAAAATTGGACGGAGAATTCAATTATAACTAGCATTACCAGGACGAGTAACAGTTAGAGCCTAAAGCCAACCTCGAATTTACCGCTATTTTCAATCAAACTGATGACTAACAGAAAAACAGACGACGTCCGGCTGTCGTAGACATGCGCTGTTAATGGGGTTCCCTCCTGCTGTTTTCAGCTATTTATAGCTGGTCCAAATTCCCACCAATGGCAAAATTTCATGAGAGATTTGGACCCATCCGGAAACCAGCCGAGATTTCCCGAAACAAGTTGCGAATGGTTTTCGGGTAACGGAAATTGCTGAAAAGATCGCAAATTTCCGAAACTGTAGTGCCTAATAGTAGCAGTAGCTGAAAGAGTAGAAATATTTAAGAGACCATACCCGACTGTGGGGTTTCTGGTGCCCCATTTTAGGAGGGAGGGGGAAACAAACCCACACCCCATCTAAGACGTGTCATAAAATTATACTAACCAGGATGTGTTCTTCAAAGTCTGAGTTCATCTGCCTGAAAGTTTTAGGAACCAACAGTCGGCATTCTGTAAAACGGATGTGCTGCAAAACTCAAGTTCTGGAACAAGACTAAAGTCCAGAAGTGGATGAACAGCCAGGAACCCCCCCCCCCCCCCCCCCCCCCCCCCCCCCGAGTTTACAACTGATGATTGCGAAGAAAATGAAGCCTTTCTCTTCTTCTTCTTCTGTATTATGAGCCCTTGAGGTTCACTGATGTAGTAGATTTCACCCACTTTCATTTATCTCTTTTTCCCTCTCTTTTCAACTTGTTTGCTTCATGCTCTACTTTCATTTAACTTGTTTGCTTCGTGCTCCACTCTCATTTAACTTGTTTGCTTCATGCTCCACTCTCATTTAACTTGTTTGCTTCATGCTCCACTCTCATTTAACTTGTTTGCTTCGTGCTCCACTCTCATTTAACTTGTTTGCTTCATGCTCTACTTTCATTTAACTTGTTTGTTTCATGCTCTACTCTCATTTAACTTGTTTGCTTCATGCTCTACTTTCATTTAACTTGTTTGCTTCGTGCTCCACTCTCATTTAACTTGTTTGTTTCATGCTCTACTCTCATTTAACTTGTTTGCTTCATGCTCTACTTTCATTTAACTTGTTTGCTTCATGCTCTACTTTCATTTAACTTGTTTGTTTCATGCTCTACTCTCATTTAACTTGTTTGCTTCATGCTCTACTCTCATTTAACTTGTTTGTTTCATGCTCTACTCTCATTTAACTTGTTTGCTTCATGCTCTACTCTCATTTAACTTGTTTGTTTCATGCTCTACTCTCATTTAACTTGTTTGCTTCATGCTCCACTCTCATTTAACTGGTTTGTTTCATGCTCTACTCTCATTTAACTTGTTTGTTTCATGCTCTATTCTCATTCAACTTGTTTGCTTCATGCTCTACTCTCATTTAACTTGTTTGCTTCATGCTCTACTTTCATTTAACTTGTTTGCTTCATGCTCTACTCTCATTTAACTTGTTTGTTTCATGCTCTACTCTCATTTAACTTGTTTGCTTCATGCTCTACTCTCATTTAACTTGTTTGCTTCATGCTCTACTCTCATTTAACTTGTTTGTTTCATGCTCTACTCTCATTTAACTTGTTTGCTTCATGCTCTAATTTCATTTAACTTGTTTGCTTCATGCTCTACTTTCATTTAACTTGTTTGCTTCATGCTCTACTTTCATTTAACTTGTTTGTTTCATGCTCTACTCTCATTTAACTTGTTTGCTTCATGCTCTACTCTCATTTAACTTGTTTGCTTCATGCTCTACTCTCATTTAACTTGTTTGTTTCATGCTCTACTCTCATTTAACTTGTTTGCTTCATGCTCTACTTTCATTTAACTTGTTTGCTTCATGCTCTACTCTCATTTAACTTGTTTGTTTCGTGCTCTACTCTCATTTAACTTGTTTGCTTCATGCTCCACTCTCATTTAACTTGTTTGCTTCATGCTCTACTTTCATTCAACTTGTTTGCTTCATGCTCTACTTTCATTTAACTTGTTTGCTTCATGCTCTACTTTCATTTAACTTGTTTGCTTCGTGCTCCACTCTCATTTAACGTGAGCTTGCGTGTGTGTGTGTGCGCGTGCATGCATGCGTGCATGCACATGTGTGTGTTGCACTCTTCCGCCCAGTATTTGTCTTTCTGTTATCTGCACACTACAGATTTAAACAGACAGAACAGACTTACAGCAGCATGACCCTGGAAACTACTGGAGATCCTGGAGTCCTGACCAGATGCAGCAAGGCTGGCTCCTGGACCACCTCCACCCCTATTATAGGATTGCTGTGGGCCCAGCATCTGTGCCAAAGACTGACCTGGTAAAGGGAATATCACAACAGGCATTTTAGTGTAGATACAACAGCATAAATCAAAACTGGTTAGATAAGCTACGTTTCAATAATAAGGTACCCTGACAACAGCAGATGGAAGAGGTATTAACTCTTTCAGTACCAGAAGGTTTTCAAAGGCGATGCCACAGTAATGAAATAATCATGATGCCAAAAATGAATAATTTACTTTTAAAGTGGCAATATACATAGATTAGTTGTATTGACCAATAAGGAAACCCGATTTCTTGAGCACATTCTGACCAAATGGTAAAAGTAAGAGAGCACACATTACGCTGTGGAGGGGAATCAAGGGGTACATTCATTCACACACTAGGCGTTGCTTAGGACTGAGAGAGTTTAGAACAGTCCAAGCAAAAGCAGTATTTCACAAAATAAAGAAGATTCCATGCAGTAAATCCTTGCCCATTAGAGAAAGACAGTTCTCAGGAGCAATGCAGAGCCAATCCTTATATACAGAAGTTCCCCGTGTGGGTGACGGGGCCCTTTTATAGGGAAAACAAGAGTCGACCCACTGCCTACTCAAAAGCATGTCTTAAGAGTCGACTAATTGGGAGCTTCCTTCAAAGTAGGAGTGCATCTGCCTGAGAGGCAAGGAACCAACAGCCTGCATACAAATTAGTCAGATCTGTCAAACGGATGCACACGCAGCACTCAGGTTCTGGAACAGGGCTGCAGTCCAGAAGTGGTCAAACAACCAGAAATTTCCACCAGAGTTTACAGCTGGTGAACGCGAAGAAGAAGAAGATATACAGAAGTGAATCATGGACAGTTAACCTATTAGTGAAAAGTTATGTTGAAGCTGCAATGATCTCGTTGAATACAGGAATGATGAGAACAGCAAAAAGGCAGGTAACCAGAGCAATGAAGATGTCTGAAACAGACTAACTCACAAAGGGAGCTGGTTACCCACACCAAAAGGGGCCAGTCGACATTTCTGGGTCGTACCGTGTGAGGAGGAAAACTCATTCAGCAGGAAAGTTGGAGGGGGAAAGAGACAGAGAAAGACCAAGAGGAAAGATACATGATTGCTTGGTGTTACCGTAGAAAAACACACAGAATGAGCTTTCACCATTATGGTCACACAATGTATTTCAACTTAAGAAAACAGATGATGTTCAATGCATTGAGCTAACAATATCTCTATGACTTGTTCTGCCTTCCATGTTGACAGACACGACACTAGCAAGACTCAAAAAAACATTTCTACATCCTGTGTCTCAGGTGGCTGCTACTGATGACTTCAGCAGACCGCGCAAATCCACTTTTTGTGATGGAGCAGTGACTGTCCTCTGATGTCTATTTAAGAGACCCTGTCATCTGAGAACTCAGGCAGATGCACAAAACTTAGTGGAAGATCCAGACTCTCACCACACAAATTCCAGGATCATCTGATACCTACATCAAGAACATCACTCCTGCTCAACCCCAGTTCGAAAGGTAATCTACTTAGAACATGAAGACATTTAACTCCGTTGACTCACAATGATACTTAGATGCACACAGTGCTAACCTGGCAATACAAGAGATAAAATGACATAGTGAGTTGGTTGGGGGCTATGTTTCACTGGGGGATAGAAGGCTGAAAAAGGAGAAGAGTAAAGGATCCTTTTCATGCTAACGGCACAACAGGCATATCTTCTTTCTTTGTCTTATTAGCGTTCACAAGCTGTAAACTCTGGGCAAAAGTTCTGGTTGTTCGTCCACTCCCGGACTTTGGTCTTAAGTTTTGTGTGTGTGTGTGTGTGTGTGTGTGTGTGTGTGTGTGCGTGCATCCAATTTACAGATCTGGCTTATTTATAAGCAGACTTTTGGTTCCTTGCCTCTCAGGAAAGGTGCACTTCGACTTTGAAAATGCCCATAATTAGTCGCCTCCTAGGACATGCTTGTTGGGGAAAGCAGGGGTCTATTTTTTTTTATCTCCAAAATGTAACCGGAGAACGCACCCGTACAATCAGGCATATGGAGCTGGACTATATTTTGAGGGATATGGTCAACACCACAGCTGCCACTTTTCCTTTCCACAACATCTCCTGGTACTTATTTAAGGCTGACTAACAAGGGAACTATCATCATTAAAAACAAAGAAGCCATTTTGATACTTTAGAAAATCGGGCTGGCAGGCATGCCTTAACGGCGGCACTCATTTGTAAACAAACTTGAAAAATGTATTTGCTAGGTACCTTGAGGCTGTCCCTGTCCAGGAACAAACAATCCTGATAGACCAGCAGACGCTTGGGGCAATCCTCCGGCACCAGCGCTCACGCCTGCACCACCGCCTCCTGCCCCTCCAGGAAGAGGGATGTTCTGATACAGCAGACCCGAGGACTGCTTGCTAGCGTGTGGTGGCATGCCGTGCTGCTGCTGGGACTGCAGCTGTTGTTGTTGTTGTTGGGGATGCTGAGGCTGCACCCCTAGGAAAGCTGGTGTATTCATGCTGACTGACTGAGACGCTGCTGTGAGAAACAATAAGACTGCTATTAACAGGCAATAAATACTGTGTTTTTGTTTATAAAATCACACCAGCATAGTGTTCTGTGTGCTTGCCTGCCAGGACTTTTGCTTTTTTTTTCCAGGATATGCCAGTGTGTTGGGAAATAAACAAAGATAGACTAGCTGGTTCTGCACTTCTAGGTGGTAAACTGATGCGTGACAAGCCAGATGTTTTAAGGGCCCTTTGGAAGCAAGTAAAGAGTGTGTACGCACTAACAGATATTATGATTCAAAGAGAATGGCGCAGCCAGGAGTTGCCAGGGGATCTGACTGATGCTCCACACTCAAATGAGTGGCAAGACAGACATACAATCAGACTGTTACTGGTACCATCAAAACTATACATCTGTGCTTCAACGGGCATTTGTTGTCAGGGTTTTCCCTCAGTTTTTTCACGAAGCACTGCACAACCTCATTGTTGTATTGTCATCTGGTTTACAGGTGAAGCCTCCCCTCCCCCTGTGGATCCATCTACGGCAACCATGTGCATCCTGGTCGGCCCTCAAAGAAAGGCAGTGGTAGAACACGGGCACTTTTCACAATTCAAGGAAGCTTCCGTAAATGCATAGGTCATACATGGCACTTTGGTACTGGTTTCACCTAAAGAATCATCGCAGCCCACACGTGAGCGCTTAACCTCTCTAGCCTGCCAAAACACTGGGCAGCGTTTAAAATGCCCGTAAAAGCATATCATCTTTTCTCTGACCCCGCTCATACAATGGACAAGAAACAATTCTATGAATTCTCTGGAAGGAAAGGTGAAGAAGGAAACTGGCTCCACCACCTCAACAATTCATGGAACAGAAAATATGTAAACCCCTATCAAGACCTGCTGTATATATGTTATCCATTAGTCATTAAGTGTGGTCCTGTACCATGTGACATGTCAAGTTTTCACAGTTTCTGAGTCTCTATAAACTCTGGTTAGGGTGACTAGTTCCTTTCCTCATTAGTTTTCCTTCTCGAATAATTCCTAGACAATTATTCAGCATCTCTTTATGAGCCCACGGAAAAATGAATCCTACAACTACGTTTGAACTCACACCATCATCCTGGCAAACTCTGCTGCATCCCCCTCAAAATGGAGGATGACAAGCTGTTATGTGGTTTAAAGCAAGGCTGGGATATTCTGCACTTACAGACGCAACATATTCAAGTTCAGCAAACCCCTAACTGGTCGCCATGATGGAAGGGGGGAAGGAGTGAGTCTATTCTTTTTTTTCCTGTCCATTAAAAATGAAGTGCCCGAACCCACACAAAAGAATCCTGGCATGCAAGAACACTAACCGCTATGCTACTTCACCTCTTCAATGGTAATTATCTTCATGTTCATTTTCTAACACACGGCTCTACCATCATCAGGTGCCTTGCCGACTGGCGTGGACGATCATGCCTCTCCACAATCTGCCATCTCCTGCAGCATGTGTCAGTTCGTGTGCTGACACACCTCCATGCCATGCAACCAGGCTGTCAAGAATCTTCTCTCGCTGTCTTCCTCTATCCCTCCTTACACAGATCATTCCAGTGGTCTCTACATGTTCCATATTCACTGCTCTCCTAACATGACTGAAAAATGATTCCTGTCTCCTTCTGATGTTTGCAATAAGTTGTCTTCAGGCTCCCGCCTCTTTCAAAACCTCTCGATTGTCCTTTTTGGCTGTTTATGGTATTTTAAGCATTCTTCTGTAAAACCACATCTCTGAGGCCTCAAGAAAGTGTTTGGCCTGCCTACCGATTGTCCACGACTCAGCCATTTCTAGCTCTACACATTTTTAAACAAAACCTTTAAATACTTTTTATAAGTACAGTTTGCTTCAATGATTACGAGAAACACATAAAAACTTTGCAGTCAGTAATTTTGGGTTAATGAGAGGGCAGAGGCTGGGTAAAACTGCCACTATATAAAAATATTTAAAAAAATTATCAGAACCAACATCATTAAAGTCCTTAGTGAAATCAGTCGAAATTAGTTCATATTTGAGTCAATAGTCAGAATGCAGAGAAAACTAACATTCCAGTGAATCAAAGGACTAGGAAAAGGTACTTGTGATAAATCAGACATACATTGGGAAAACCTGATGCTAATAACATATATTTTTCCTTTTTTTTTTTTAATTGATGCAGAAACCATGAGTTGTAAACTCTTTGGCTCGTTACTATGGATATCTCAACCCTTTGGCCTTGATTCCATGATAAGATACTGTAAATTTGACAAAATGTGGCTTTTCTGCCTGTCCCCAAGTGCGAACTATGACCCAAAGTAGTTCGTTTGTGTGCATTTTGTTTAAATTTAAAATATGATGTTATACATGGAATGTGATTAAAATATTCATTTCTTAATTCTGCACTTAATAATTGGGGGTCGTGTTATACATAGGAGTCTCTTATCAGTGGAAATATATACTAAAAAGTCCTTGTACTGGAACTCACAATGCTATAGGAGCAAAGAGACTGATAAAGAAAAAAAGGAGGTTAATTCTACAGCTGGCCAGAATACAGCCCAAATTTGCAACATAACACTCTCCTATTACAATAACTGGCCAGAACACAGCACAAATTGGCAACATAACACTCTCCTACTACAATAACTGGTCAGAACACAGCACAAACTGGCAACATATCACAATAACTGGCTAGAACACATCAAAAATTTGCAACATATCACTCTTTTATTACAATAGATGGCCAGGACACAGCACAAATTGGCAACACAACACTCTCCTATTACAATAACTGGCTAGAACACAGCACAAATTTGCAACATGCTTGTAGCACTATTTTCCTGCTACAACTAGCCAGAAACAGCATAAATTCACAACATTTGTCTGCTTTATTAACCAACCAGAAAAACAGCACAAATTCACAGTACAACATTTGCCTTTTACAACAACTAGCCAGAAGCAGCACAAATTCACAATACAGCATATTCCTATTAAAATAACTATCCAGAAACTGCACACATTCACAACACAGCATTTACCTGTTACAAATATCCAAAAAGACAGCAAAAATTCACAACACAGCATTTGCCATTATAAATTGCCAGAAAAACAGCACTAATTCACAACACAGCATTTGCCTGTTACAAATAGCCAGAAAAACAGTACTAATTCACAACACAGCATTTGCCTGTTACAAATAGCCAGAAAAACAGTACTAATTCACAACACAGCATTTGCCTGTTACAAAAAGCCAGAAAGACAGCACAAATTCACAATATAAAATGCTTCTATTTAACAATAAACCCACCATTAGAGCCATTCCGTCCTGCTCCCACTGCATTGGTCAACATGGAAGATGGGAAGCCAGAATTACCCATCATGCCTGTGGCCTGACCTTGTTGGGGAACAATACCTGAAGGAGGGATAAACCCAACTGGCGCTACCAAAAAAAAAAATGCCCATAGGAATAAGTCAATTTTAATAAATCAAATCTGACCGCTATCAAATCTTGAATGATTAATTATATAAAACTTATACTGTGAGTCCGACGACACAATCATAAATTACTATTATCTCTCCATTGAAAAAAAAAAAAAAAGGCCAGTTTCCATGCCTTCGAACTTAATGGGCAAACATACCTATCTTTTAAAGACCAATCGACATGAGAGAAGAGAGGTAAGATATGGGGGGGGGGGGGTTGGCAGTAAGAACACTGAGCGCAAAAAATAGAATTAGAAAATCTAAGTGATACCACTTTTTCGATTCCCACCCTCTCCCAATGTGAATGTGGGTGTGGTCCATAAACAACGGTGCTAGCCCCTATAGCCCCATGCTTGTTCGCTCTGCATATGACTACAGTAGTTCCATTTCTTACACTAAAGTCTGGTGGACCTGGGAGACAAGGTCTTTTTTTTTAAGAGAAAAAAGTGGGGGGAGGGGGGATTGGAGATCCTAACCCACCAATTGTGGAAACCCCAAATAAAAAACACATAACCTTCTACGCCAACTGAAGGTAGGTAGGTATATATATATATATATATATATATATATATATATATATATATATATATATATATATATATATATATATATATATATATATATATATATATATATATATATATATATATATATATATATATATATATATATATATATATATAGAGAGAGAGAGAGAGAGAGAGAGAGAGAGAGAGAGAGAGAGAGAGAGAGAGAGAGAGAGAGAGAGAGGAAGGCAATGACAGACAGGCAGAGAGTGAGGGACAGGTAGAACAAAATGTGAGCATAACACAACTTCCTGTGTACTTGACAGTTACTAGGAAAATTTAAACAAGAAATAAAATTGGAAAGGCGGGGGAGGGGGAGGAGGGAGCAAGAGGCAGAAGAGTGAATGAGGGAAGGAGAGAGAGAGGGGTTGTGAGGGAAAAGAAGAGGGAAACAATGGGGGAATTACAATGTTGATTGCTAAACACACTGTAAAGATAAACCTGGCCAAAAACAGAACTGGGAAATCCAGCTGACGTCACTTTGCTTAGCCCCACAATCTCCCAATGCAATCCTTGTTTCTAGGAACCATGGCCACAAAGCTATTTATACTTTTAATACTGCCGGACCTGATAGAAACAAAGCCACTGCTCCTTCCCGCCCCATGCCACGCCGCTGCTGTCTGCGTGTATCCATGAGCTGCAACACAGCCCACCCTTCCCTAGCCTTTAAAAAGCCATTTCAGTTGAAAAGAGCCGATAATCAACTGCCCTCACACTTTAAACGACCATAAACTAAAGTAACCAAAACTAGGAAAATGACCCCTCTCAAAAAAGTCTAACTGCCAAAAATCGCAGGACTTTTGACGATCTTATTGCGGCGGTCAAAATTCAAGGCTTCTCAAGGTCAGTATGCGTTTCTAAGGTCAAAATTAAGACTCCTGGTTGGGGGCCAGAATTTTACGACTAATTTTAAGTTTCCTGGTCGGCTACGAGCCCTGCATTCAGTGGGTGATGTCAACATCATGCCAGCCACCTTAACTTCCCAGGACTTTACCTGGTACGCATTTGAGACTGGGTCAACTTGCAAGCCAAGGTCATTTTAGGATTTTAGGGGAGAGAGAGAGAAAAAAAAACACTGTCTGGCTCCATCAGGCAGTCTCCTTCAGAAAAATTAATATTCTTTCCGCCACACAGTTTATGAATGCAACCAGGCAGTTTCTGCTTCTAATCCTTTTGCCTCCACAAATGGAATTAAACTCTGAGCCAAATTCTTCACTTTCTCATTTAGGGTGCAGCGCTTGACTTATAAGACCATCTAGCGTACCTAGCCCCAGAGACAAAGAAGTGATCAGAGGTGAGAGAGTCACTAGGTAATACCTCATCTGCTTTGGACTTTCCCTAGGCACAGCGGCTGCCTGTCTGAAGAAAGCACAGCACAAAGCAGAAACATTTTAGCAAGTTCAACAATGACCTCTAGAGATCTTAAACAAATGTACCTGTGAACTGCAGGAAGCAGCGCGGATACAAAACCCCGACCTTCAGAGCATGAAACAAAGAATTAAACCACTTTAAGCATGCACACACATTTGGTGCACACACATGAAATCCAGATCAGGTCTTACAAGACTTCCCAGACCTGTCAGCCAGGAAAAGGCCCTTAGGAACAACTCGCAAGACGAACAATAGGGCACCAATGAAGACCTCAAGAGCACCATTCTGTCTTTAACCCATCTGGAATAGATGCATAGCAAACAATTTAAGAAGAAGAAGAAGAGGAAGAAGAAGAAGAATAGGAAGAAGAAGCAGAAGCAGAAGACGAAGCAGCAGCAGAAAAAGCAGAAGCAGAGGCAGCAGTCGCAGGAGGAATAAGAAGAAGATGAAGAAAGAGAAAAAATAAGAACAAGAGGATGAGGAGAAGAAGAAAATGAAGAATAGAAAAAGAGGAGGGGAAAAGGAAGAGGATAAGGAAGGTGCACAAATTCTCAAGAAATAAGGAATCCTTTTTAAGATAAGCCAATCTACTCCTCACCTGGTGGTTTGGCTAAGTAGGGCTGAGATCCGGCACTAGGCCGTGATGCCTGATAGCCAACCCCAGAAGGTGCTCCACTGCCGAGATTTCGACCATCTATCGTCTGCTGAGACATCCCTCTCTGTGGCGGAGGTGGCATGTTCAGACTTCCCAGGGAAGACTGAGGCTGCCCTTTCATCACTTGAGACAGGAGAGAATTTGGGCCTGGGACAAGCGGGTTCTGACCATGCAGAGCTGCGTTCCCAGTCTGGGTAGAAATGTTTCCACCGGAAGGAGACATGTTTCCACCATCACCCATCTGGTTCATGTGTGGACCAAAAGTGTTGGGCGGGAAGTAGCCATGTGGTGACCTCATTGTCTGCTGGACTGACTGCAGCTGTTGCTGCTGCTGCTGCGTTAGCATTCTGTTAATGTGACTCTGATTATACTGGGCATTCTGCTGAAATGGTTGTTGGGGTTTGTCATTCATCAGGATGTGCTGCTGCTGTTGTTGCAGATGCTGCTGCTGTTGTTGCAGATGCGGCTGCTGCTGCTGTTGTTGCTGCAGAGGATGGAAGCTCTGCTGTTGTATGAACTGACTTGCAGATCTTATGGCTGACAGAAAATCTGCAGTTAAATTCGTATTTGGAAAGTTTAGTCCACAACCTTGGATGCCCTGTTCAACCTCAATATTCAAACTGGACTGATCCACTGACCTCACGGCCTGCTCAGGCACTGAGAAAGGAGAAACCATTCTTGGTGATGCCTGGGGAGATCGTGCTGCTCCTGAAACATTATCCACAGGAGAAGCTGCTCTATGCACCCCTATCACAGGGGACATGAAATTAGTCATGCTGCCCCCTCCACCTTGGTTGTCTCTCCCCAGGTTAAGGACCCCCCAGTTTGGGTTGTTCAGAAAGCCTGCATTTCCTTGCTGACTTGTAGCACTCTGGGGAATCAGCAATGTGTTGGATCTTTGGCTGACCAAAGCTGGATAGTCATCTATGCTGAGGGTTGGATACGCCTCAGGTTCACTAAATGCAACAACTTCCTTCCCCTCATCTTTTAGGTCGCCTGCTGAATCGTTTTTGATCCCCCGAGGAGACACTGAGGTGTTAGCACGAGAAGCCTGCTTTTTTGCCAGCCGGGGACTGAGTGTTGTGTTCTGGTTTCCAGCAACTTTGGCTGACAATCTGAAGACAGAAAAAAGAACTGCAGTACAATCAATAAGGTTTATGCATTTCTTTTTCTGATATTTGTTGCATTTAAACTTTCAATAGAACATAGGCACTCATGTCTTCATTAAAAAGGCAGATTAGTATGCTGCGCTGAAGTTTACAGCTGGGTTACGATAAAAGCTCCTTTCGGCCCAGCATCACTAATTAATAGCCTTTAACGATATGCTGGGGTTTTTTTTTTTTTTTGCGTTTTTTATTTTTTATTTTTACATTTGTAACATTTTCTTAAATAAAATACAGTAAATTTTTCAACTTCTGAACTCTCAATGGAACACTTGGACTCTTGAGCAGTGCAAGCTAAACCTTTTGCTGATTTGTTCAGGTGTATTCCTTCCCCTACAAAGGATACATGGCAATCAGTGCTACACCAGTTTCTTTAAAATACAGGAACTCAAATGCACTTCTTCAATTTCAAAACTCTAAATGGAATACAGGCTCTTGACCAGAAGCTCATGCTATACCTTTTGCTGAGATTTTAACCCTAGATGTATCTTAGGAATAACGGCAAAAGAGAAAACGACTGCAGATATTAAGATTTGGGTTTTTTAGCAGAAACATAAAACGTGATGACAAGAATGGCCTTGAAGACCAATATATTTACTGCTGAAGACTTCTAGATATTGGGCTGGTCTTGCTAGACATACTCATCATCACTATGGATCATGCTGATATTATTAATGCCCTCAGAGAAATGGGAAGGATAGAGGACTTTGGTGGCAGTGAATCCACATCACTCGCCAGGATGGCAGGCTTGGGAATTAAGATCAGCATAGCAAAAAACGAGACGCACACCAGACATGCCAGAAGACTTGTTAATCAACATAGAACTGGTACTATTAGCCATCGGACGTTGGGGTTCATACTGAGGGGAGGGTCTGAGCACCTATAGACATGTCCGGAGTGCAATGATGATAACGCAACTAACTAACTTATTATCACCAGTGGCGGTGATTCACTTGTCTTCCTAGAGCGCACTATAACACTGAAAAGACATGGAGGTGATGGCGGTAACAAAAGCAATATTGTGGTTAAAAACATGGCATTTTTCTCATGAGGGCTTACTAAGTGATCCCATGAACATGCTTAAGAAGATCGAGACAGGATTGGTTTGAAGACAATGGCTGGAGTCACTGAGGAAATTGCGCCTGGAAGGAATCAGTTTAATTTTTATACCAGGGCACTCTGGGGTAAGAGGGAATGAATGTGTGGATTGGCTTGCTGGCCAGGCCAAAGTTGGTACAGGCAATAGACCGGGCTGATGTTTTCAATGATCTCAAGGAGGCAGGAGGAGTAAATGATTCAGGATCTGGGTTGACAACATTCAAAAGACTACAAGAAATTCAGGTCAAAAGAGGTATTGTCAGACATGAACACTATATAGGTAGCTAAAGAAGAATAGTAATACAGCATTCAACCGGTGTTATCAGTTGCCTCACGGTGAGAGGCATACTGAAGATGGGACTGGGTGAAAAGACAGAAAGATGTCATCAAACTTTCCTGAGCGTTCTTCAATCGCTTAAAATGTAGACAAAGACGTCTTCTTGGTCTTTCTTATGTGATGCTCTGACTGAGCAAACAGCCATTCAGCAGAGAAAGTGGCCGGGCAAAATAGGATAAAAACCTGGCGCAATGAAGTTGCCCTCTCCCCTTGTAAAAACACTTTTGTGTATGTAAGTACAGCAACATGGTGTAGGTATAAGTCATCCGGCTTACCAACACAGTGATCCTGGTATTAATTCTGAGCATGACTTTTCCTAATGAACACAACCCTGGGTTAGAGAACTGTTATCACTACATCCGATTTACAGAAAATGGTAAGATACTCTTCAAAATAAAAAAAATATAACAGAAAATGCAATGAATGTTCATGAACCATTACCAAGGCAGAAGAGAAACAAGATGTTTGTGCAAACTAAGTGGTGACTTATCTTCTTTTTTGTGTTCACTGGATGTAAACTAATATAGAAAGTTCTGGTTGTTTATCTATTTCTTAAGTTTGGTCATGTTAAAGGACCTGAGTGTTGCATGCACAGATCTGCCTTATCTATGTGCAGTCTTTTAGTCCCTTGCAGTCTTAGGCAGATGAACTCTGACTTTACAGGAAATTCTGACCCCATCCATACTGGCCATCTTCCCAGTTGGAACCTATTTTCTAGAATGACAGTGGAGGGGTGTAGGCAGGTTCTGACCAGAATGAGCCTGGTCCTGCTGCACTACCACATGTGTTCAGCACCGGTGCATCCCGAGTGATGAATGTGAATCTTCATCTTCAACCATGACCAGACTACACCAGCCAGCAAGTCAAACTGGGGCAAGACAGAAACAAAATACAGGAAGCTAAAAAAGAAAAAAAAAACTGGTGTGGTCAGCCTCTACACACAGTAAGATTTACTAAGGAGGGTATCCATACACTTATGGACTGAATGATTTTGATGCGAAGTTCCGATTATTTGTCAACAAACTTACCTAGGGGGAAGATTCTTCAAGTTCCCTCCCTTATGGTGGATATTTAGGACTCCAGCTTGTCGAGATGTTGCCGCAGACTTCGGAGCCGTGAGTGGCGTTGGAGGACTGATAGCTGACTCCGTGAGTGCCGACTGTTGTGAGAGATCTGATGTTGGAGACTTCCCTTCTTCTGATATCACCTGCAGTGTAACAAGGTTAGTTAATGCTAGCACCTCACACGTCCTGAACCGGCTATCTGTTATATAAACTCACTGCATCTTCACATTTTCTGCCCCAGACAGTTCTTATATTAACCCACTCAATCAACACATTCCTGTCCCAGCTAGTTGCTGCACTAACACGTTCAATCTTGACACTTTCAGTCCCAGCCAGACATTACACTAACCTATTCACTTTTAAAACTTTGAGTCCCACCTAGTTGTTGCACTAACCCGCTCAATCTTGCATTACACTAACCTATTCACTTTTGAAACTTTTGAGTCCCACCTAGTTGTTGCACTAACTCTCTCAATCTTGACACTTTCAGTCCCAGCCAGATGTGGCACTAACCTATTCACTTTTGAAACTTTTGAGTCCCACCTAGTTGTTGCACTAACTCTCTCAATCTTGACACTTTCAGTCCCAGCCAGATACTACACTAACCTATTCACTTTTGAAACTTTGAGTCCCACCTAGTTGTTGCACTAACCCTCTCAATCTTGACACTTTCAGTCCCAGCCAGATGTGGCACTAACCTATTCACTTTTAAAACTTTGAGTCCCACCTAGTTGTTGCACTAACCCGCTCAATCTTGCATTACACTAACCTATTCACTGTTGAAACTTTTGAGTCCCACCTAGTTGTTGCACTAACTCTCTCAATCTTGACACTTTCAGTCCCAGCCAGATGTGGCACTAACCTATTCACTTTTGAAACTTTTGAGTCCCACCTAGTTGTTGCACTAACTCTCTCAATCTTGACACTTTCAGTCCCAGCCAGATACTACACTAACCTATTCACTTTTGAAACTTTTGAGTCCCACCTAGTTGTTGCACTAACTCTCTCAATCTTGACACTTTCAGTCCCAGCCAGATACTACACTAACCTATTCACTTTTGAAACTTCTGAGTCCCACCTAGTTGTTGCACTAACCCTCTCAATCTTGACACTTTCAGTCCCAGCCAGATGTGGCACTAACCTATTCACTTTTAAAACTTTAAGTCACACCTAGCTGTTGCACTAACCCGCTCAATCTTGACACTTTCAGTCCCAGCCAGATGTGGCACTAACCTATTTATTCTTGAAATGTTGAGTCCTAGATAGTTGTTACACTAACCCGCTCAATCTTGACACTTATAAGTCCCAGCCGGACGCTGAACTAACCTTGGTACTTTTGAGTCTCAGTCAGACATTGCACTAACCCATTCATTCCTGAAACTCTTGAGTCCCAGATAGTTGTTGCACTAACCATCTCAATGTTCTCAATAGAAAGAAGATTATTATGGCCTGGAGAGAATGAGGCACCTGGGTGTAACCAGAGGGTCTGGCCGGCTCACTACACTCAGAGAAAAGGCAAGACAGACAAATAACCAGATTGTGACCAGTACCATCAGCACTGGAACTCTGTGCTGGCTGCTGAAGATGAGGATGGAGCACACATGGGAATTCCCCGAGTCAGACATTACACTAACCCATTTACTCTTAAAACTTTTGAGTCCCAGTTGTTGCACTAACCTGCTCAATCTTGAAACTTTCAGTCTCAGTCGTTGCACTAGCCTACTCAACCTTGACACATTCAGTCCCAGCCAGATGTTGCATGAACCCACTCGATCTTTACACTTTTATCCTAGCTGGTTGCTGAACTAACCCATTAAATCTTGACACATTTGGTCCCAGCCACATGCTGCACTAACCCATTAAACCTTGACATTTTCAGTCCCAGCCACATGCTGGATTAACCAACTAAATCTTGACACTTTTGGTCCCAGTCACATGCTGCAATAACCCACTAAATCTTGACACTTTTAGTCCCAGCCACATGCTGCATTAACCCACTAAATCTTGACACTTTCAGTCCCAGCTTCAAGCTGCATTAACCCACTAACTTGACACTTTCAGTCCCAGATACAGCTGCATTTACCCACTAAATCTTGACACTTTCAGTCCCATATTCAGCTGCATTAACCAACTAAATCTGGACACTTTTGGTCCCAGCCAGTCCGGGAAGGGAGTAAAGGAGGGAGACTTTTAGTCAGGTTGTAACTGGTACTATTAGCATGTTGACTCTTCATTCGTTACTGAAGAAGGGGACGGAGCACATGTGGGAATGTCCTGAGTGCAGTGATGATTCATTCATATAATAACATGACACCAGTGACAATTAGACGCTCTCCACTTCATACAATAACATGACAACAGTGACAATTAGACGCTCTTCACTTCATACAAATAACACGACACCAGTGACAATTAGACGCTCTTCACTTCATACAATAACATGACACCAGTGACAATTAGACGCTCTTCACTTCATACAAATAACACGACACCAGTGACAATTAGACGCTCTTCACTTCATACAATAACATGACACCAGTGACAATTAGACGCTCTTCACTTCATACAAATAACACGACACCAGTGACAATTAGACGCTCTTCACTTCATACAAATAACACGACACCAGTGACAACGTGAAACTCTTCACTTCATACAATTACATGACACCAGTGACAACGTGAAGCTCTTCACTTCATACAGTAAAATGACACCAGTGACAGCGTGAAGCTCTTCACTTCATACAGTAAAATGACACCAGTGACAATGTGAAGCTCTTCACTTCATACAAAAAATGACACCAGTGACAATGTGAAGCTCTTCACTTCATACAATAACATGACACCAGTGACAACGTGAAGCTCTTCACTTCATACGATAACATGACACCAGTGACAACGTGAAGCTCTTAACCCACTGACTACCAGTGTCGCACGTAATGCGACGAGGCGACGTTTACTTCCTTCTGCCAACGTCACACCCTTTGCGATTTTGGCTTTGGACCCTCGCCGTCGTGTTAAAATCGTGATTTTTATGATGGATTTAGTTGAAACCTCTAGCTTATTTATTTCTGTATGGTTAATTAAGGGAAATAACTACGTAGTGCTTGAAGTAAATATTTGACAAATTTTTTTAGTTAGCTCCCATGACGGTGAGACATTGACGAAAAATTCATCATGGCGTCAAATTATCGGAACCATCGTGGTGGCCTTATCTCTCCTAATTTTTCTAATGATGCATTCGATTTTCTTGATTTTGCTTCAAAAAGTGAATTTGAAGACACTTCTGAACAGTTTGATTGCTATGACTATAATAAATTTAACGAAGTGCCATTCAAAACATCGTCGACTGTAAAACGACAGTATGGCGCTTCGAAGTCGTCTGACAAAGTCAGTCACAGTGTTGTCGGCTAAAAGCACTAGTGCTGCAGTTTATGATGCTAACAGTTCTTGTGAGAGTATTCAGTCAAAGCCCACAGATTATAAAGATTTTGTGCTTGAGTCTGCACATGACGAAGATATCATTGCCGCTTTTGATTCAGAATCATCATCATCTAACGAGTCCGGAGAAGAGATGCCACGCCCCCAAATGGTTGATGACTGGCATTGTCATTTAGAAGACTTTCCTGGAGTACCCCCATTTACTGGCATTTCTGGTTTATTTCTGCCAGAAGGAACAAATGAACCACTGGATATTTTCTTCAGTAAAGACATACTTGCTGTGTTTGCTAAAGAAACAAACCGTTATGCTGAGACAAAGATTAGTGCTGGAACTGGAAACACACAACCCCAAATGAAGTGACAGGGTTTCTTGTACTGTTGCGTCACATGTGTTGTGAAAAAGCTGTCTATTTCAGACTACCAGAGTCTATATCCATCTCTCCACTCATCATTTGCTGCCACCATCATGTCACGGGGGCGTTTTCTATATATTGCTGTCAGATAACATATTTTTCTGTTGCCTTTTTAGCACCATATCTACAGCCACATGATGATGATATAAAAAAGTAAATCTACATTTGTCTTGATATCTGTTATCTATTTAATTTTGTGCAAACAATATCAGATAGGATAAGTGATATTGAACAGTTGTGAAGCTGTGACATTTTTTGGAATCTGAATTATTGTCAGACAAAGGATTTTTCAGTTGCCTTTTTGCACCATATATACAGCCACATGATGATGATAAAAAACAGTAAATCTACATTTGTCTTGATATTTGTTATCTATTTAATTTTGTGCAAACAATATCAGATAGGATAAGTGATATTGAACAGTTGTGAAGCTGTGACATTTTTTGGGAGTCTGAATTATTGTCAGACAAAGGATTTTTCAGTTGCCTTTTTGCACCATATCTACAGCCACATGATGATGATATAAAACAGTAAATCTACATTTGTCTTGATATTTGTTATCTATTTAATTTTGTGCAAACAATATCAGATAGGATAAGTGATATTGAACAGTTGTGAAGCTGTGACATTTTTTGGGAGTCTGAATTATTGTCAGACAAAGGATTTTTCAGTCGCCTTTTTTGCAACAATCTACAGCCACATGATGATGGTGATTATGTCAGACAAAGTAAACCCCATTTTTTGTCTTCACATTGTTCTCGGTTCAATTTTGTGCAAAAATACAAAATATTATATATGTTTGTTGAAAATTTTTGAAAAAAAATCATCACTATCAGTCTTTATTGTTGTCAGATAAATGATTTTCAGTTGCCTTTTTTGCAATAATCTACAGCCACATGATGATGATGACTATGTCAGAGTAAACCTTATTGTTTTTTTCTTTAAATGTGTTCTTGGTTTAATTTTGTGCAAAAATACAAAATATTATACATTTTTGTTAAATATTTTTTGAAAATAAGACATTTTTATTTGTCTTTATTGTTGTCAGATAAAAGATTTTCCGGTTGCCTTTTTTGCACCAATCTACAGCCACATGATGATGATGCAAAACAAAATAAATAACTTTTTTTTCTTGAAATCTGTTCTTCATTCAGTTTGGTGCAAAAATACAAAATATTGTGAGATTATATCAAATAGTTGTGAAGCTATGGCATTTTTAGTAAACACTAAAATATGTGGTATCTGGGGAAATGCAAGGGTTAATGGGCTTGGTAGTCAGTGGGTTAACTTCATACAGTAAAATGAAACCAGTGACAATGTGAAGCTCTTAACTTCATACAGTAAAATAAAACGAGTGACAATGTGAAGCACTTCACTTCATACAATAAAATGACACTAGTGACATTGTGAAGCTCTTCACTTCATACAATAAAATGACACTAGTGACAATGTGAAGCTCTTCACTTCATACAGTAAAATGAAACCAGTGCCAATGTGAAGCACTTCACATCATACAATAAAATGACACCAGTGACAACGTGAAACTCTTCACTTCATACAGTAACATGATACCAGTGAAAATGTGAAGCACTTCACTTCATACAGTAAAATGACACCAGTGACAATGTGAAGCACTTCACTTCATACAATAACATGACACTAGTGACAATGTGAAGCTCTTCACTTCATACAATAACATGACACCAGTGACAACGTGAAGCTCTTCACTTCATACAATAACATGACACCAGTGACACTGTGAAGCTCTTCACTTCATACAATAATATGACACCAGTGACAATGTGAAGCTCTTCACTTCAGTCAAGCTAAAAACATCAGCTTACAGATAGAGGACTTGTTGATCCTTTCTCCTGCTCCATCTTTTTCTGCATCTGCTTCTTCATGATTGTCTGTGAAATTCAACAACAATAAACTGAATAAATATCTCAATTGTGCTGCTTCCTGTGAAAAGAGGCTGCGTCAAACAGAGTAAGTTTGATAAAGACTTCTCCGTTGCCAAAGTAAAATCTCCATCAGGAATGTCTTGATATTAGTTAACTGACACAAGTTATTAGTTATTTGATACACAAGTTATTAAACTGTTATACACGTTCTGCAACTTCACACCGGTAGAGATGCATATTAGTTCGCAACTAGGACGTGATCCTGGCAACAACAAAACAAGACTAGCTGGCTGGAATTAGGCTTGGACTGACAGCGTTTACTCACATGGGTTTAAGTGTTTTTACCATCAAAATCCTTGAATGGATTTAGAGGCCCATTCTTGTGTGTGTGTGTGTGTGTGTGTGTGTGTGTGGGGGGGGGGGGGGGGGAGAGAAGAGACCCAGTGCCACCATAATAAGTATGTTGTGTAAAAAGCAAATAATTAGGACTGTTTTCTTTAAAGTCAGGGTGCATCAACCTGAGAGACAAGCAACCAACAATCAATATACAAATAAGCCAGATTTGTAAAACCGATGTGAAAGCAAATAACTAAAATGTTCTGGAATAAGACTAAAGTCCAGAAGTGGACGAACAGCCAGGTTAGAGCTGATGAATACTAAACAGAAATGATCAGCCCATAAGAAAACTCTGTAGAATGTTGAACGTTGAATTCAGAATCAACATCACAGCATCACCATAAGTGCACTGTACCCAACTTCAGCAGCAAGCAAAGAGTTAAAATTCTGATGGTACCAGTAACTATAAGAAAACTGTACAGATAAAGTAACAACTTGTGAAGAGTCTATACATACCTGCATGGCAACATTCTGTCTTTGTGGTGGTTTCTGGGGCACCTGGTTGTTGTCTGTAGCCTGCGCAGCTGAATCAGAGAATGAAACAAAATTAGTAAAAACAAAATACAATAATACAAGAGACAGGACCACAAGTGTGCTACGTTATCAAATATACTTGATACTGAGATTTTGAAGTGGGTGATATTCTTCTTCTTCTTCACGTTCACCAGCTGTAAATTCTGGCGAAAAGTTCTGGTTGCTCGTCCACTACTGAACTGCAGTCCTACTCCAGAACTTGAGTGTTGCATGTGCATCAGTTTTACAGATCTAATTGTCTTGAATACAGACTGTTGGTTCCTTGCCTCTCCGGCAGATGCACTCCGACTTCAAAGGAAGCTCCCCAATTAGTCAACTCTTACGACATGCTTTTGGGGAGGCAGTGGGCCTATTCTTGTTTTTCCAACAATGGGGCCCCGGAACCCACACGGGGTGAAGTGGGTGATGAGTTCCACTCTTTCTTTAAAAAATCATTAGGGTACAATACTAGGTCTTCCCCTTCTTTCTTTTAGTGTTCACCGGCTGTAAACTTTGGCGAAAATGTATAGTTGTTCATCCATGTCAAGATTTCAGTCTTGTTCCAGAACTTGAGTTTTGCATGCACATCTATTTTTCAGATCTGGCTTATTTGTATGCAGACTGTTGGTTTCTTTCCTCTCGGACAGATGCACTCTGACTTCGAAGGAAACACCCTTAATTATTCATTTCCTATGACATGCTTGTTGATGATGGGGAGGGGACGGGGGCAGAGGGTCCCCCCCCCCCCACCCGCAAACGTGGCACAAGGATACTAAAATGAAAAGATGTGTGCAAATGGGCCATGAATGATACATATACTAAGGTGGATTCATGGGAACAAGATGTCACGGACCAACTGCATGGCAGGAGACAACCAGGAAGGCGACAAAGGCAAGTGGAACATGAATGATACACACAATAAGGTGGACTCCTGGGAACAGGATGCCATTGAGCATGTTGCATCATAGGAGAAAATCAGGAAGGTGACAGAGACAAAGGAGAAAATGACAGTAAATAGGCTAAAAGGAGCATCTGAGAAGGAGCATGGGATAACAACAATTTGCCTGAAATTCTGTGCTCTAGCAGGGAAGACTCTTCTTAAAGCAAGCGGGTCTTGCAAGCCACACTCAGCATCTTCCCATGTTTGTTCTGGGACCCTATTATGGGGAAAACAAGAATAGACTTATCCCCCCCCCCTTTCAACAAACGTAGCGTAAGAGTCGACTAATTGGGAGCTTCCTTCAAAGAGACACTGCATCTGCCTGAAAGGCAAGGAACCAACAATCTGCATACAAGTAAGTCAGATCTGTGAACGCATCAATCAGGTTCTAGAACAAGTCTAATGTCCAGAGGTAGACAAACAAACAGAACTTTCCCCCTGAGTTTACAGATGCTCAACACCAAGAAGAGAAAAAGAAACCATTCTTCTTCTTCGTTCACCGGCTGTGAATTCCGGCGGAAGGTCTTGGTTAATCGTCCACTTGGACTTTTGGCTTTTACCTGGACCTGAGTTTTGCGTGTACAACCGTTTTGCTGTTCCCTGCCTCACGGGCAGATGTACTCCGACTTCGAGGGAAGATGTCAGGCCTATTTCTAGGATGACTGTGGCCATTGTTTTGTGTGGGTCGAGACGTTGCCTGATTTGTGTGGTGTTCTCTTTGTCGCCTTCTCCGCAGAAGTTGCCCCCAGGGTACCCCTTTGGGGCAGTATCTTGTGGAAGGGTTAGCCCTCAAGGGAAGGCAGGGGCAGATCATGGGCATTCCCCACCATCTAAGGAGGCTTCCATGTGTGCAGAGCTGGCACATGACATGATTTCCACGTTTCCTTATAGTACAATATAACACTACTGCAGGAAAGATGACCCCGCCATTTTTGGCAGTGACTGTGACAAAACAGTCGTTATTGAGACTGCCTGACAAAACAAGTGATCTAAGTTCGATCCTCAACAAAGACCAGACAGTCTTATCAATGTGTAAGTGCTTGCTGCTGAAGATGGGCTGCAGCGCTTATGGGAGTGTCCTGAGTGCTATGCTGGGATTCTTAATTCAACATTTAAGATAATGTGCAAGTTCTATGGTCCATCCATCTTAACAATAAGAAAGAAAGGTGACAACAGAAAGGACTGGCCACTATACCTCATTTTTGTCACAGCCCAGAATATGTGAAAACCTCAAATCTGTCACTTCAGCATCAACAGTAACTATAAAATCTGTCTTTATTTTCTTTAACTCTAGAAGTCCCAAGCAACGCATCATGTTCTATATGGTTACAAGCCAGCCGCCAAATCGGCACATGATAAGTACCAGTATTTAATTTACCCCTGGCCACTATAAAAAGACACACCAGCAGTTTTACATGTTATTTACTGTACTGTCTCTCTAAATTCACACCTACTGACCTTTAGGTTTGTTTGGAAACGTGGTTAAAAGCATAACAAATAGCACGTTTGTGAGCTTTACCAAATCACTAAGTGCTGACCAACAAGATTTATCGCTTTCGAAACCTTAAATTTTAATACAAGATACATATTTATCCTAAGCTAGACAATGCATACCTAGTCTACGCCTCAGACAAAGCGTACAATGATAACAAAGTCAGCTGGCATAGAGATTTTTTTTAAATATTGAAAAATGTGATTTTCCTCAGTGTCAGCTAGTGTCTAGTGCAATTCCTTTTTTTCTGGGATTATAGGCTATACAATTATAAGCAAACTGTGTGTTATATAAAGTTTGTTTTATATAAAGTTCTCCTCCTATGGGTGCCGGGGCCCCATTACGAGGAAACCAAGAACAGACCTACAGCCTCCCGTAAGAGTCGACTAATTGTCAGCTTTCTTCGAAGTCGGAATGCATCTGCCTAGAAGGTATGGAACCAACAGTCTACATACATATGTGTCAGAACTGTAAAATGGATATGCATGCAACACTCAGGTTCTCGAACTGGACTAGAGTCCAGAGGTGGATGAACATTCAGAACTTTCCACTGGAATTTACAGCCAGTGGACAAGAAGAAAAAGAAGATATAAAGTTCATTTTTGTGAAAATAGTAACCGTTTTTGAAAGTCATTTTTTTTAACTCAAAAAAAAAATGCTGCTGTTACGGTGCTGCAACACTTTCTCTAGAATGAGACATAATGTACAGTTAGTTGTTAACTGACACAAATTGTTAGTTAATTAATTTTAAAAAAAGTAATAGTTATATAAAACAAGTTATTTGGCACAAATTAAGTTAGTAAATTGAGACATTATTGAGATATTAGTTAACCAATTCAAGTTATTAGTTTGGGAAAAAATTATTTGTGAACTGAATCAAATTATCAGTTAAATGATATAAGTTATTAGTTAAATGAAACAAGTTTTGGGTTAATTGAAATAAGTTATCAGTGAATTGATACAAGTCATCAGTTAACTCTTACAAGTAATTAGTTAACCGAAACAAGTTATCGGTTAACTGAAACAAGTTATTAGTACTTTGTCTGCGTTCATCCAAAGACTAAGTTATTAGTATAATTCAAGCTATATACGTTACCCTTCTGTGTAGAAAACTGATTCCGGATGGACTTTGTTGGCTGATATATAACAAGTTTCAGTTGAGACAGGTCCTGGGCCAACCACTTCCCATGAGCCACCAACCGCTGGCAACGCAAGTCTCTTTCCCGAGCTGGGGTCAGGTCTTCGCTGAAAGCTTTGCTAAAATTGTAGCAGCTGAGGATAAAATAGTTAGTGATGTGAACACACATGTAATCCCAGTGTGCGGTCCGGGGCCCCATTGTGGGGGAAATGAGAATAGACCCACTGCCCCCCCCCCCAGCTCCCACAAGCATGTCGTAAAAGACAACTAAACAGTGGCGTTTCCTTTAAAGTCAGAGCACATCTGCCTGAGAGACAAGGAACTAACAATCTGCATAATTAGTAAAAGGGATGTGCATGCAAAATTCAAGTTCTGGAACAGTCCAGGAGAGGCAAACAACCAGAACTTTCTACCGGAGCTTACAGCTAGCAAATGCTAGGAAGGAGGAACACACTTGTAAGAGCTCCTAGCTAGCGGTCACCATCTGTGGACCTGAACAGTTTGTAATTCTGAAATACCTAATTTGGTTCAGCTGAAGGCAATCTGACAGCAGACCGCTTTGCCTTTATTCTGATAATGGTATAAAGCATTCAGGAAGCGATGGCAAACTACTAAATTTAAAACTATCTAGTAAAACCACAAGCAATGAAAAAAATGTTGAGATTGGTTTCTAGTGTCCTGTAAAGGATATGCAATGAACTTTGGAATTTAACAAATACAAGAATTCTCCCATGCTATATAGAAGTAGTTTTAACATATGGCCGTCAATCGTGGACAATAAACAAGCTAAACAATTTCTTGAGGTCTTGGAGATGTAGTTTTACAGAAGAATCCTTAGAATTCCTTGGACAGTCAAAAAAGAGTAACCCAGATGTATTGAAGGAAGTGAAGGCTTGATGACGACTTATCAAAAACATCAGAAAGAGACAGTCATCATTTGTGGAGAAGAAGAAAACTAGAACATGTGGCCACTGGAAAGATCTGCAGAAAAAGAAACACAGAAGACAATGCGAGATAACTCTTGACAGCCTTCTGTCATGGCACGGAGGGGTGTCAACACATGAACTGATACATGCTGTTAAAGATAGCAGATTGTGTAAAGGCATGATCGCCTATGTCGGTCGGCAGAGCACTTGATGATGACGATTATCTTCTTCTGCCCATTCACTGGCTGAAACTCCAGCAGAAAGTTCTGATTCCTCATCCACTTCTACATTTTGGTCTTCCAGAACTTGTGCATGCAAATCTGTACTGCAGATCTGCCTTATTTGTATGCAAGCTGTTGGTTCCTCAAAGATGCATTCTGACTTTAAAGGAAAAGCCCCTAACTGCGACCTTTATGACATGCTTGGGGGTGGGGTGAGGGGGGATTTCCACCAAAATGGGGCACCAGGACCCGCACTGGGAATATTTTGTGTCTAAGTGCATGTAACTTTCATTCCATATCTTTTAAGTTGCTCTCCGGCTTACACTTCTTCTTCTTCTTCAGCATTCCAATCCCTTGAGGTTCACTGCTGCAGATATCACCCGCCTTCATTCATCTCTCTGGCTGGCCTTCTTCAATCGGTGACACCAGGTGTTTGCAGGTCTGCCTGGATATCTCTCCGTCGTCTTCTTGGTCTGCCTCGTGGTCTATGACCATTCATCTCCCTCGTGTATACAGTTTTTACTTCTCTGTCATCTGACATTCTTTCAGTATGTCCCAATACTTTCAGTCTATTAGCTTTCATGATGCCAGCTATCAGTTGATATTTAAACAGATTACAAATTTCATTGTTGCTTCCCACTCTCCATTGGCCGCTGTTTGCATCTTTGATGGGTGAAAAGATTTGTCGTCTCCAGCTTTCACTGGCATCATTTTGAAACTGATTTTAAAATTGTTTATAAAAAAAATGTTTTACCTTGTTTTAAAACTAAAATTCTGAGTATATTTCTGTCAAACTTGTAAAAGCAGCTGTTGCCTTGCCAATGTATATCAATTTAACTGCTATTGTCATTATCCCATTTCCCTCGTGTGGGTTCCGGGGCCACTGCCTACCCAAAAGCATGTCGTAAGAGTCGACTAATTGGGAGCTTCCTTCGAAGTCAGAGTGCATCTGCCTGAGAGGCAAGGAACCAACAGTCTGCATACAGATCTGTAAAACGGATGCACACGCAACCCTCAGGTTCTGGAACAGGACTGCAGTCCAGAAGTGGATGAACAACCAGAACTTTCCGCCGGAGTTTACAGCCGGTGAACGCGAAGAAGAAGAAAAGATTATCACATTTAAGTGTGCATTATAAAAATCTGGTTAAAAAAAACATCCTTGTCTTCACTGGCAATGGGTTCTGTTTCCTTTTCCATACTGATAATGCCAGCAACTGACGAAGGAAGCACTGCACAGGTGGGAATGCCGAGTGTCTTGAGGTCAATTCTTAACTGACTGATTCTGTTTCCTGTTTAACTTATACAAACATTTACTTTTAAATTAAAGTAAAGAGGCTTACTAAATCACTCAAATGCAGCAGCCAATGGACCAAAGAGGACTCAAAACGTTTCAAGAGAACTGGATTGATGCGAGTGACAACTAAAACAATACTAATAAACTATAAACATTCATTAACTGGTGCCTGCAGAAAATAGAGGGAATTAAATATGAGAGAATCACTTTGGGGGAGAACTAAACAAATTCCAGTGAATCAAGAAGAAGTGAAGAGAGTCTGGGGTTGGATATGACACAAGCTGAGAAAACCTGAGAACAATATAAACTAGAATGTCTTTGCAGTGGAACCCACAGTGGCATAGAAATAAACAAAAAAACACATGGAGAAGTGAGCTAGAGAATGAAGCTAAAACAACAGGGAGGACATAGGTGAGGTGCCTGCAGTAGCAAAAGATAAGATGAATTAGCATGAGTTGGTTGAGGGCCTATGCTCCAGTGCGGGATAAAGCACAGAAGAAGAATAAGAACTGGAGTTGGCTGTACGCAGCGGCATAAGAAAGGCGTGATTTAGTTAGGGACCCATCATGCTCCACTGGGGACAGAGGACAAAAGAATGCCACTGGGATAGAGGTCAAAAGAATGCAGTTATCTGCAATAAGATTACCTGCGTGGATTGCTTATTATGTAAACTACATTAATTACATGCTTATGTTTACCTGTAGGTTGGCTCAAGTGGCTGAAAGCATCTGAGGTCTGTGTCCTCTGGAAGTGGAGTGTCCTCAACTAAAGATGAAACAAAAACCGGCATGGATCAACGAAAAAGTAAAGAGAAAAAAGCAAAGATCCCTTCCCACGCCTTTAGGCCTATCGGGCATGTGGAAAGAGCGACCATATTTTTACAGACCATCAGCACTCTGTGGGTAATGTGGTCAGCATTACGTCTTTACTTTCCCAGGACAGCCCATCCTGGTACCCATTCTAGGCTGGGTCGACTTGTGGGATCAACGAAAAGCTGATTAGAAAAGTCTGTGACTCTCACTTATACATACAAATATTTGTGGGTCTCTAAGGTCGAGCCATTTTTTTTTTAAATAACGCCCTTTGTTCACTTTCGATTTTTGTCATCAATAATTAATAACAATCATCATCTCTGGAGCCAAGGAGTTCATGCACTGAGTGGATGCTCTTAGCAAGCGGCTAGTCTCTTTGCAGAGGAAGACTAAACCAAAAGTATAAAACATGGTACAAAGATGTCCAGGCTCTCACTTTCATCATTTTTTAAAGTAAAGGGCTCTTTTCTATGCCTTCAGGCGTATTGGGCACATAGTGCTAGATCTATATTTTTAGACAAATCGGCACTCAGACAGTGATGGGGTCAACATCATGCCGGCTGCTTTTACCTCCCAGAAATTCACCTGGTATCTATTTTAAGATCTAGGAGCCAAGATCATTTTTTTTGTGTACAGTCAGCGAACGCTAAAAAGGAGAAGAGAAGAATGTATTCAACAGAGATAATACTTACAGTTAGTGACGTCTACAGGCTTATTGGAGTCATTCAGCAGCCACTGCAGCGTGTTCAGGAGCTTACACAAGTCACACCAGATGCTGGGGATCAGCAGACAACATATTATTTCTCCTGAAAACTGAAGATTACTATGTGAAAATATGGATACACAACATAAGTTAATGCAACAGCTATAGACCATAGCTGGTGGTACCTCTAGCAGTGCTAGATACTTATGATGCAGGTGCAAGCTGCTGGATTTTGCAGGGACTACTGTCTGTCTGACTTTTCACATGGGACGGAGGTGGGCATCATGTGTAGTTCTCACTGGCACAGGAACACAGCAAATTATATGTGGTGACCGATTTGCAATAAAGTTGGAATTCCCACTGACAGTCTGAGACAAACCTACACTTTTAGGTCTGCATCAACAGACCTATTTTAAGTTGATGCAGCATGCACCAATCAGATTATCAAATGTGCTAAAAATCTCAAATCAGCTTAAAACACAAAAAGTCCATTATAGAATAGTGGATTATAAAATATATTTACCTACAACTTTACAACTTGCAGCTCAATGCAACAACTACTGACCCAAAACCTATTAGGTCTATTACTATACCTGGTATTAATGAATTCCTTTTTCTGCAAGACATCCTTGTTCAGAAACAACCAATCAATTAGCACCTTGATCGCTGGGAGGGTGAGGAAATCCCTGGCCTTGTTGTCTTCTTTTGGGGTATGTAGTAACATGGTCTCCAGAAGCTTGGCTGATAAAGAGAACAAAATACATCAACATTCAAATTTTGTTTAAATTATTATTTTAAAAAAACTGAGTTCACCAGCTGTAAAATTCTGCCCCCCCCCCCCCTTTTCCCACTAAAAAAAATATTACTGTCTTATTTACTATTTTTGCAGTGTCGACTTGGGGAGGAGGGGTGTGTCTCTGCGCCTGAGTATTTATGGCCGTATGGCTAGCTCAGTCGCCACAGACTGTGGAAGTTAGTTGTTTTTGTTTGTTGCCCCCATGGAAGAAACCCATAACCTTACTAAGAATTTAAAGCTGGATCTGCCACATGAGACCCCAGTGTTCTGAACCTATCAGCCAGCCGCTCCTCTCACAACTGTAATGCATCAACACAAACCCACACACAAATATCATCTGTCTCTTTCAGTACCAAAAAATTGTTATAATAAATGAATAATGCCAGAGTAGAAACATCGTAAATAACTTTCCCTATTGAGAAACTCTGTAAACTGTTGTTGCTTGTGCTCATCGGGTGTGAACCCCGGCGGAAAGACCGGGTTGTATATCCATTTCTGGACTTTGGCTTTGTTCAAGGAACTGACTTTTGCTTATTTGTGTGCAGGCTGTTAGTTCCTGGCCTCTCAGGCACATGCACTTCGACTTGGAAGGAAGTCCCCAATTAGTAGACTCTTACGACATGCTTATTTAGGAGGCACTGGGTTTATTCTTGTTTTCCCCACAATGGGACCCTGGAATCCACACGAGGAATTGTGTGTATTATAATAGTTAATAATTTTAGGTCTTAACAAGAACAAATAATGCACATAATTCATTATTTTAAAAAAAATTGTCACCTGAAAATGCAATGTGAATCTGCACACACCATTTCTCATCAGCTGAAAAGTTCACCTTGCGGACAGCATCTCCCGAATCAGTGGTGTCATTCTGAGCCCGATGAAGCGCAAACACTGATATGGCTACAATTCCCGTCAGGTGTGCTGACGACACTGTCTGCGAGCGGATATGGTTGCCCAGTCCTGTGATGATCTTGGTTTTGAGACTGTCAGCTCTGTCTAAACCTGGGATGTGTTGCAAAGAAAAAGATTGTGGATGATGAGAAATCGTCAAGTGGTGAAATACTGATTATTTCTTCTTTTTTTCTCATCGTTTGTCATGAGTGACGTTAATGAATTGTGTGCCTGTTTACAGCATGGCTGTGATATCTGTGCCTCTTCGTGTGACAAATCTGACATCTTCAGACATTTGTTTTCTGGGTAAGCCTTCCTGGTTTATAAATATGGATTTCTTCTTTTCTGAGTTCACCAGCTGTAAACTTCTGCCCCCCCCCCCCCCCCCCCCCCCTCAGCTAACTAAAAAGAGGTCTGGAACCCACATGGGAAAAGCATGAATTTAAATGTAATTAGATCTATTTAGTTCATAAAATATTATTTCCTTCATTTCCAAGCAGTGCTTATTAAAGATTTTCTCAATCCCAAACTCTTACATTTTAGAGCAGTGTGGGTGAAAACAAAAGTCAAAGAACACTGATTTGAATCATGAAGGGTTTAATTATTAATATTATGTGGCAGATTCAGCCATCTGGTGAGAACGAATTCAATTATGCAAGAGCTTACAGCAAGATAAAGGAAACAGATGCAGAGGAACACCTGAGTGAACATGGACTGAGGGAGGCACTGACAGCTTAACACTTCATAACATCATAACACGCCAAGAAATTGAATGCAGCCTAGTTTGGCCATGATTCTTCTGATAACCTTTAACACAAAGTAGATACTGGACAAAAGAAGATTCAAAAAGTTGCAATAACAATTGAAACATAATTAGTTATTGTGACAAATATAATAATATACTCTTCTGCTTCTTTGTTCACCCGCTGTATGCTCGGGTGGAAAATCCTGGTTGTTGTCCATTTGGACTCTGGCTTTGTACCATAGTTTTGCCATTGTTTTTAATTCTTCTGGAGTATTTGAGTGCAGCTGGTTATTCCTTGCCCCTCGGAAAGATGCATTCTGACTTGGAAGTAAAATAAAACACTAAAAAAGGATTGAGCTTAAAAAAAACCTACACTATGTAGAAAGTTATCAAACATTACATTGTTAATTATTTAGTACTTCCTTCCTTCTTCCTTAGGTTGGTGTAAGGAGAATATTTTTTTAAAATAATATTTAAATTTAACAATAATTTCATTTAAAAAAACACTGCAGGGTGAACACATTTTTAAGTTAAGTAATTTTAATCTAAAGAAAAGACACTGTATTACCGGTGGACATGTGTAGCAGTGCTTCAAACTGCAGGAAAGCTGTGATAATCTCACTCATGGTCAAGTTAGCCCCATCAAAGTCAGATCGGCTGCAATAATAGAAAACACAGTTAGTCTACAGCAGAGCTTTCCAAACTTGTATGTTGTGACACATGAATCTGACGGCTGCAGGGTACAGATGTGTTGTTGCGCAAACCTTAACCATTGTAAAACAGAATAATCCGCAAGCAACACTTCTGCTGCCTTTCTAACCTCCAATGGAGCACAGGCCTTCAACCACAACACGCCAAGTCATTCTATCCCTGGCTACCACATGCAGCTCTGCTGTTTTTCAAATGCTTTATTACTGTGTTTCACAAATTATTACAATGACACCCTAGACTGTGTATTTGAGGTTTGAGGTTTGAACAACAGGTCAACATCATGGTAGTAACCCATAAGTGGTACGTTCTTCTTCAAACTAAATTCGAGTCCGAACAAGCTCAGCACAGTGCACAGGCTCTTCAGCACCGGCGAGGATCCTGAAATACTGGGTAGATTTTCAACTCCAAATTTTACCTGGGCAGCGCCATTAGGCTACTCTTTTCAATTTCCAACTGCCAGGTTTTTTTTAATGTGCGCAATAATGCATATGGGTGTCCGATCTCACTACCCAGAGACCAGGGGGAATTACTAGAAGTCCAAGTCCATGTGAAAAAATCGCAGCCCTTACCAAGGATTGAACCCATAACCTCTAACTCTCGGGGCGGACACCATGCCTCAAGACAACGCAGCCCCGTATACTGTGTGTAACAAAGTGTACTACATTCTGAACCTTGGGTAACTAAATGTATTCTATTTCTACACTACAGGGTAAGCAAAAGAAAGCCAAGTTCCCCCCTACCCTAGAGTACACAGTCTGTAACTCTTCTCTTCTTCTTTGGGTTCACCAGCAGTAAACTTTGGCGGAAAGTTCTGGGTTTTTGTCCTCTTCCGGACTATATGTAGTTTTGTTCCAGAACCTGAGTTTTGAGTGAACATTCGTTATACAAATCTTACTCATTTGTATGCAGACTGTTGGTTCCTTGCCTCTCAGACAGATGCACTCTGACTTTGGAGGAAGCTCTCAATTAGTCGACAGTGGGTCTAATTTTGTTTTCCCCCACAATAGGGCCCCGGATCCCACACGGGGTGTCTGTAACTCAATGTGTAACAACAACAAACCCAAAACTGTTCAACATACAAATAAAATAAAACTCACGTATCCTTGATAAGCTTTGAGTAAAACTTCTCCAAATTGGTGGCAGCAACTGGGAAGGGGTGTCTGACTGCCAGGCTGCGTATGTAGTAGAAGACTGTGGACAGTTTATCTCCCCTTGACGCCTCCAAAATGGCCAGTTGGTTATAGGGCTGACCTAGTGAAGAAAACATGCCGGTAACTAAGTTAAAGTAAGGGATACGTCTTCAGGCGTAAAAGACAAATGGTGCTAGAACTATACGTCACAGACCAACCAGAACTGGGTGGGTGGGTGATACAGTCAACATCACGACGGCCACCTTTCCTTCCTACTTTACCCGGTACTAACTCGAGGCTGGGTCGACCTGGAAACCAAGATCATTTCTGGAAGAAAGAAAAATCCGGCTCCATTCAGATTTGAACCCATGAACTTTGGATCCACTTACGAGCATCTATACTGGTAACTGCTTACCCAAGACAGGTCTCTTTACACGTGTCATAACGACTAATTAAGTATAAATTTTGGTGTGGAGCTTTTTTCCCCCCAAAAATCATGTTAGTTCATTATAACAGTACATTGGTGATTCTTCCTTGAATCCAACTTCAATATAAGATATTTAGGTCCAAATCATGTTTTCTGAACCATCTACAACTAGCCACCTTTCATTCATACTTTCTCAGACTCTTCTACGTTGGGAGGGATGTCACATTTTCTTGCCTCCAATTACATAAGCACCAATGTCGCATGTTCTATACCACACGATGACTGTTGCGTGCTGATTTGGGAGAGTGTAATAGTGTGTGAAGGGACAGAGTGGTATGAGAGTACTTTCTGTGAGTTCACGGGGAACTAATGTCAACATTGGCAGAGTACTGAGGGGGAGAGAATGTTGACCAGTGAAAATGTATTTATCATGAACAAGGCGTGCACGCACGAGAAAAGTAGACGCGTGGGGTTACTGTGTGGGGCTGACAAGCATGGATAACGAGACTCACAAAGAAAGGGTGTATTACGTGACAGTGTGATTCTCATGTAACATCAGCCACTCACAGAAGTGTGATCCTCGAGAACGCTCCTTTGAGCGTGAGTCTCGAGAACACACACATGAGCATGTTTCCCGAGAACACCCACATGAGCGTGCCTCTTGTGTAACCTACGAGTTCGACAGGGATAAATTGGGGCTGAGTAGTCAGTCCAAGTCAGTCAGAGTTCGAGAGTCAGAGAGAGAGAGAGAGACCAAGTCAGGGTCAGTGATTATTTATCTCAAGGTGAAGAAAGTCTAAAGGGACGGGATACTCCAATAGTACCTGTTCTGGGTGATAACGCGAGGAGACGTAGGGTCACTAAGGAAACAGAACAGGGGGTGATGCTGACGAGAGCTGTGTGCTAGAGGGGACTTAAGTTAGAAGTCCTGTCGGTCATTGGAGTCCTTCTACAGGCTGACGTGCTGTGTGCTTTTGGAGAACGGCAAGGCAAGTCCGTATCCAGTCAGCTGCAGATGTCTGCTGAAATGTTAAGGTCCAGTGGATAGGAGAATCGTCCTATTCAGCGGTACGGCATGCCCAGAGGTGGGACGCTGTAGGCCTTTGGAGCTGTAGTGGTCAGGAAGAGATCGCTACAAGTTGAGAGAGAGCGAGTGAGGACAAAATGGACTATGGGCGAATGTCAACTGTGACCAATGTCTACGTCTCTGCAGTTTTGTTGATGTGAGGGCATGTGTACACCCTCTTGTGTTCTGTCAATTAAATATGTTATGTGACGGGACTATTGTCGTCGAGTCCTACTTCAAGGGTGAGGGAGCGAAAGTTACATCTTTAGACACTTGGTAGTGAGCTGATTAGTGTGTAACTCAGATAGCACACAACAATGACACAGCTTTCAACGACCGCAGAACATCCAGAACTGGCTCTTACCCTAACCCCCTCTATTTACAGCCTGAACCTAGGTCACACAAGAGATTCTTTTTGAAGAAAGCAGTACAACGTGACAACCCTCTGACCTAGATCAGACTGAGAAAGTGGGCCGGGAAACGTGAACAGGTCTGATACTTATATATAAACATTTGTTTCACGGCTAGTGGGGGGAGGGGGGGGGGGGGGGGGGAAGGTCAATGGCTGACTGTGGAAATGTGATTTTCTTCTAAGTCTTGGTGTCCACCAGTGGTAAACTCCAGTGGCGAGTTCTGGTTGTCTGGGGTGCGCTTCTTCTGGTTCTTTTGTCGCGACACTGTTACTGGATTGTAGCCCAGTGCTGTGGTTTTCTGTACGTGTCTCACACTTCTCTGGTGGCTTAATTGATTATTTTGTTTATCTTCATGACAGGATCCAGCTATGTTGTTTATCCATATCCTCCTTGGTGTTCCTCTTGAATGGTGCCCAGATATTCTGCTGCAGAAGATCTCATGCACAGTTAAATCTGGCTGCGTTCTTACAACATGGCCAATCGAAAGAAATGGTTTGCCTCTAACTGATAACAACATTTTAATAGATTAACCATTATGAAATAATAAAATGAGCTTAACCTTGCAGATTCAGAATGTCAAAATACTATTTTTAAAAATAGAAAAGAAAAGAGAAATGATCAGAAAACAAATTACCTACCATTGTTAGGTGACAGATTTGCAGCATGTCTATAATACGTCTGTGCCTGTTCCATCTGTTGGCGGTATCGAGCTGGAAATATGTAAATCCAAAAGGTACATTTTATGTAGTGGTTAACTGGTAATCTGGTTATCTGGTAATTTTAATTTCAGCTTCATAGCAAACAGGTCACCCCATCTTTGCTCCGCTCCTGTGCCAACAAAAAACACACAGAATGTTTATCACAGTCCCTTGTGGAAAGACAAACTACTGTGTCAGCAAATCTAGCATACACTCGCATTAAAAGCATATGGTAGCCATCCGAAGTGATAACACAAACAGAAATGCAGTTCATCATTAATGGTAGCAGAAGTCACCAAAAGATCAGCAGTTGCACACGCGATCAATTTTAATCTAATAATGGCCCCACCAATATTGCGACAACCGGCATCGCGCCATTTTCTGAATCTACAAATCACACCCCCACGTTAGTCAGGTGAAAAACATTCCAAATGAAATCTGCAGCTCACAGTGTCACGCCATGCACTCAACTCAGAAGCTGGGTAACAAAACTATATACTTCTAGTCTACAAATTGAGCAAAAAAGCAACGGCCACAGTCTGACAGAAGCAAAACAGTGGCCGTGCCTAGTGTTCATTTGGACCTGAAGCATTATGTGAGGGTTAATAAACTGTCACCCCAGCAGTACCCTACTATTAGCTGGAGAAGCGATTTAGGACATTACATCCACCAGCAAGTGTCGCCCCAACAACGACCTGACTGCTTTCGTTAACGACTGTTCACCAAACAGCCATGCAGTTCTTTGGCACGAAGGAGACACCCTGAACTAGGGTTTGGACTGCCGACTCCCTACACGAAGATATATGTGTGCTACTGGTGTCCTGTAGCCAAAATACTAACTCACTTCTTTCTTTTCTTCTTTTGTCAAAATCTGCTTGTGCCGCTAGGCGTCGCAATCTATCAGATGATCGGCAACCGAGCCAGGGCGCGCTCAGTCGCTTCATATGCCGTGATGTTATGAAGTCTCAAGTTGTCCGTGACTCCTTCAATCCATCTTCTTCTTGGTCTTCCCCTGCCTCTTGGTATTTCGATTTTCATGTTGTATGCTCTTGATGCTGGCATCGTTGGTTCCATTCTCATTAGGTGACCAAACCATTTCATTCTTTGCCTCTCAATAAATTTAACGATGGGTATGGTTCCAATAGTTCTTGTAATCACATCGTTTCTCACTCGATCTCTTCTGGTTTTATTCGCAGCCATTCTCAAACATCTCATTTCACAGGTGGTTAGTCTTCTCTCGTGTTCTTTTGTTAATGTCCAAGTCTGACATTGATAACCTAATGTCGGTATAAAGATTGTATTTATAATTTGTCTTTTTATCTCAGCTGGGACAGCAGGGTGTTTTAAAATTGGGGCAAGCTGGTATGCGACATTGTTGGCTTGTTAGATTCTTGCTTCGATCTCTCTGTCTATTTTACCATTGAATGTAAAGATACTTCCCAAGTATTTAAATTCTTGCACTTGTTTTAGGCTGTGATCTAGAATCTTTATGTCGATGGTCTGTTGCTCTCTACTTATGCTCATGACTTCTGTCTTTTCAGTATTGATCTTCATATGATGCTTGAGGCAACTGTCGTGTAGTAGGTTTATGTGGTCTTGCAGCTGTTTACTATCACTGTGAAATATGCATTGATCGTCGGCAAAGAGCAGCTCATTGAAGTCCTCCTGTTTATCGACATCTGTTGGTGTTATGTCTATTTTATTAATATTGTCCATAAATATTATGAAAAGTAAAGGTGATAATACACAACCTTGTCTTACTCCTGATGTTACTGGGAACCAGTCTGTGATGCCAGCTCTTGTTCTAATGGCGCTTTCACTTTGTCTATAAATAGCCCTAACACAATCTAAAATTTTTCCATTTATACTGTAGTTTTCAAGAACTTTCCATAATAAATTTCTGTTTACTCTATCGAAAGCTTTTTCTTGATCTATGAAAGCGATGTTCATTTGATGTCTGTGTTCTATTGTCTTTTCGCTAACTTGTCTTAGAGCAAAAATGGCGTCAGTACACCCTCTTCCTTTCCTAAATCCGACCTGTGATGGGCTCAGGATCGGTTCTACAACGGATCTAATTCGTTGTTCCAGAATTTTGGCAAACAATTTCCTACATGGCTTAGAAGGGAGATGCCTCTGTAATTGTTACAATCTTGCTTATTGCCTTTTCTTTTCCAAATTGGGACTATAAGGGCTCTTTGCCAGTCTATTGGTACAGTTCTTTCATTCCAGGCTTTCCTAAATATGTGGAGTAGCCAGGTGACTCCAATTTCTCCACAAGCCTGTATTGCCTCGGCTGATATTCCATCAACACCTGATGCCTTTTTTGGGGACTGCATCTGATTGCTTCTCTGACTTCTTGTTCGATTATTTTAGGCTGTTCCTCGTTTGTACATCTGGGTGTGAATGGTACTGTTTCCTCATTTCCTGTTACATTCAGAAGAGTCTGAAAATATTCTTTCCACCTTTCTCTGATCTTGCCCTCCTCATGTATGGGTTTGCCTTGACTATCATTGACATATTCAGATGGCTGGAATGGTTCATCTCTAGTTCTCATTTTTGCAATGGTTTTGTAAAACTGTCTACTAGATTTAGCACAGATTTTGGTAAGATTTTCCCCATACATGATCCAGGATGTTTCCTTGGATTGTTTAATTTCTCTTGCAGATTGTCGCCTGGCAATTCTGTACTTGATATAATCGTCATCTGAGCGGGATCTTAGCCATTTCTTGTATTGCTCCTTTTTACATGTCACTGCTTGTTTTACTTTATCATTCCACCATGCTGTTTTTTTCCTGAACGTTCCTCCTGTGTATCTAATACCACAGAGTGTTGTTAGGCAGTTCAGAAGAGTGTTTTCTGCCACGCAGCTTCCACATTGTCACTTGATGTTATTAGCTCAGCCATCTTCGCCGTCATTTCTGCCTGTACTTTTGCTTGGTTGTCTAGATTGCTTAGGTGTCTTATGTCAATCATTGAGGTACGTACTGATGTTTTTAGTTTTTTGTTAATTGTTGCTTCGCTTAGATATACGATCAGCGGTCGATGGTCTGTATTTAAAGAGATGTAATGAATTACTCTTGCGTCTTTTACTAAGCTTCTTCTCTTTTGTTGATTTAGTATGTAGTCCAACTGTGCGGCCTCGTCTGGGTTGCTCCATTTATACCAGGTGTTTATTTGGCTTTGTTGATGCTGATAGAAACTACTGGTGACATAAAGGCCATGCTCTGCACAAAGTTCTAAAATAGGATGGCCGTTGTAATTGCAGACTTTGCTGTTGTCTGAGTGTGGCCCGATATATTCCTCCCACGGTGTTTGCCTCTGCCCTATATGCCCATTTAGGTCACCTATTACCATAAGATCATCATTTGCGTGTATCTGACTGATGACTTCCGACACTGAGTCAAAGAAGTTATCTTTCTCTTCCAAGGTGTAACCATCATTGGTGGGTGCGTATACCTGCACAATGCTTGTATTTCTTGTTTTCCCGTAGAGTTGCAATACTATAATCCTTTCAGATATATATTCTATATTCTTTACATGTTTAGCGATATCCGGATGGAGAATAAAACCGACTCCGTGAGTCGCTCTCTGCTCTTTCTTAACACCGCTCCAAAATATGACATAATTTCTTTTGTTATGTTGCCTTTTTTCCTGCAATCTGATATTCCCATTATATCGATCTTATGTTTCATCATGAATTCTACTATTTCTGGTTCTTTATTTGTAAGACCACAAACATTCCATGTTCCGATTTTTGTCGCTTGGCTAGTTTGTTTACAATGAGTGAGAGATGGCTGACCTGTTCTCGAGCTCTTATTGTTGTTACGTTTGATGGATTTTCTAATCTCATATATTGTTTCTAGAGCAGACTTTTGTGAACTCTTAAATCCACTGCCGATTTGCTGGACCTGACACAGATTCATCCTTAAGAGAACACTGGAAAACACGTAAATCACATCGAGAACACTGGAAAATTTCACACCCGTTGAATAACACACACTGTTTACGTCGCCATCTTGCTCACTGTATTACTAAAATTCAGCACGCATACTCAAACACACACACACACATACACTCATTACCTGCCACCCGCTTGCTTGCTACATGACTACATGTTTATATAAGTATATATACATATATCGTAGAAAGGTGCACCCAAGGGACGGTTTCAGAAAGAGATGCATACTTTGTGGTAGGGTAACATTGCTTGAAAAATGTATTCTGCAAGCCATCAGGGGTTGCATTCACATTTTCTAGGTTCTAACAATAGTAATACACTAGCGATGACTAATAATAATCATTAACCGCTCAGCCAATACATACATAAATCGGCGTAGACAGAAAGAGAGAGATGGAGAGGGGGGGGGGGGGGAATCACTGCATAGCTAATTACAGCAAATGTATAGCGTTCATTGAGTCTTCTGTTTCGATATCCAAACGTGCTTGTTGTCAACCATTCAGTTTTTGCGTGCATCGATCAAGGCCTGAGAACAGAAAATCAAGTGCTGTGTCTCTACATTCATTTCTAGGTGGCCACGGGGTTACAGATGGAACTGTTGTAGCAGGTAGCAGGTAAATTGGGTGCTTAGAAAATGTCGTGTTCTCATGTGTATCTGGTGTAGCCTGATGATACTACAGATTTGGTTAACTACGGTAACTGTAATTCTCACCTGTATCTAATGGTGAGCTAATTGTTTAGATTCTAACTTGTATCTAATGGTAAACTAATGAACTTTAATTCTCACCTATTTAATGAATTCTTTAACTTTCTTCATTTGTTGAAGTCAAGTAAATGTGCTGCACCTGTTTACAGCAAAGCTATGATATTTGTGCCTTTTGGCTGACACATCCTACTTCACTGTGCATCTGTTAAACCGATTAGCCTCCCTGTTTAGTTTTGTGGTATACAATGTGGCCTTATTTGTAAAGTGTCCTCTCTGTCCCTTTATCTGCAGGTGTTTCCCCTTGGAGAACTCATCTAGGGCAACCTCATGGTGGCAGATCATGAACATTACCCGCCACCCAAGGAGGTCATAAATGCAGAACCAACACATGACGCTGTGGTCATGAGGCTCACGCTAGGAATTGTCACGTTCTGCACATGACTGTTTAACCTCACATCCATGTGTTGAGCTTCCCACTTGTCACAGGCTGCACCCTCTGGAGATCATCAGGGTGCAGCCTGCTGGTCTGGGACTTTAATGACATCACAAATCAACACATTCTCCCTCAACAAGTCAGACACCTTTACACTGTTTCATCCGGGAACTTGGCATCATAGTATGGAGAAAAGCATGCATTAAGCACTGTTTAGAATTTGATCCTGAAATTTTAACAAGTGGGGCCAATCGAAATTGACTTTGGAACCTTTCTACCAAACAGTAGGACCTCTGACAGTCGAACATATCAGACTTTGCTGTTATGCCATAGAATATTTATGTAATAGCTACCTAATGTAACTATTTAATCCTCACCTGTATGTAATTGCTAAATAATGTAACTGTTATAACTCTCACCTGTAGGTAATAGCTACCTAATGTAACTGTTTAACTCTCACCTGTATGTTATAGCTACCTAATGTAACGGTTTAACTCTCACCTGTATGTAATAGCTACCTAATGTAACTGTTTAACTCTCACCTGTATGTAATTGCTACCTAATGTAACTGTTTAACTCTCGCCTGTATGTAATAGCTACCTAATGTAACTGTTTAATCCTCACCTGTATGTAATTGCTACCTAATGCAACTGTTTAACTCTTGCCTGTATATAATTGCTACCTAATGTAACTGTTTAATCCTCACCTGTATGTAATTGCTACCTAATGGAACTGTTTAACTCTTGCCTGTATGTAATTGCTACCTAATGTAACTGTTTAATCCTCACCTGTATGTAATTGCTACCTAATGCAACTGTTTAACTCTCGCCTGTATGTAATTGCTACCTAATGTAACTGTTTAATCCTCACCTATGTCGCCAAGATGAACTAAGCAGTGGCAGCAAATGTACAGACAGGAGCTCTTTTTGGGAGTCATGATGTTCTTGTAGTTGATTGTGTTCTCTGCAAGAAAAGTCACCAAATCTTTCATTAAGGTCAGGTAATGCTAACTGAGGAGGAACAGCTGGCTCAGCGGTTACAACATAAGGCTCTCAATCGGAAGACACGAGTTCAACTCATAGAAAGGTAATGGAGGTTTTTCTGCTGGGGGATACAAATAAACATCCTAACCAGCACCAGCCATGCGGCCCCAAATCTTTAGGCTCAATCCTCCCCCCCCCCCCCCCTTGCAACAGATCTTCTTTAAAACTGACCTTGGCTCCCAGATCCACCCAGCCAACCATGGGTACCAGGTAATGACCTGGGAAGTAAAGGTGATTGGCATGTTGATGAACATGTCACCGAATGAGTGTCTCAAGGTCTTGAATAAAATCAAGATCTAGCACTATATTCCCAGTGTTTTAAAGGCTTCGAGGACCTTTACAAATTAATGCCAGCTAGGGTTAGTGAGGGCTGTAATCAAGTGCCTTGATTTGTAAAGCAGTGTCATAATCCCTTGTCAACCTGCTTATCACAACTGTATCATCATCATCATCATCATAAATTCTCTTTACGCCTAGTGGCACATGAGGCTTCAGAGACGACTTCCATGCTTTCCTGTCTTGTGCAATCTTCAGTGCAGTTTTCCATGTCAGAGATGCCGCACTCAGGTCACTTTCCAGCCTTCCTATCCGTGTTGTGTTTTTTTTATCTTTTCCTCTGGTATCCCTGTGAGAGCTGTTTTGGCAGGTGTATTTTGATTTTTTTTCTCAATGTGGCCAAGCCATTTAAATTTTCTCTTGGTTATCTATCTGAACTGTAAAACAATGATACATTTTTAAAATTACAAGCACATCTATGATATTTTTTTCTTCAAATAATGGACCCTTTTCCATTTCCACAGACGTACTGGGTATATACTCTGACCTCTACTTTAAAGACCAATCGGCACTCACTGGATGATGTGGTCAACACCAAAAGACCACCTTTACTTAACAGGACTTTATCAGGTGCCCTTTTTTCTTTTTTCAAATCTAGCTTGATCCTGCGGATTTGAACCCACGACCTCTGGACCAATGCAAGTGCCTAACCACTACATCATAGCAGCTTCTTTGTGTATAGTGATCTGCTAATGAGATGTATAGCTAATGATACTGGCTAAATTCGCACTGCGCATGAATTCATATGAAAATATTAACTAAAAAAAAGCACCAAGTTGCGTGAAAAAAAGCACCGGGTTGCGTGAAAAAGGGGGAGGGGGGTGCTTGGCTGACTGGCTTGAAGATTTTTTGTGTGTGACTCACTGGCTGCAATAGCACAATGGCTAGCACATTTGCCTGTCTGCTCAGTGGTCACAGGTTTGAACCAGATGGATTTTTTTTGTTTAAATTGATTGAGACATCCAAATTTCTATGCTTTTTCTCTTTGTCTAATTTCTGTGGGCAGAATTATAAGGATGTGTTTCTTTCTACAACACTTTGTGAAAAGGTCTTTTTTATTTATTGATTGTTTTTTTTTTTTTTTTGTTACAGGGCCAAAGAGTTAAGACTTCTTTGAACAGAAAAAAAAATTAATAGTGTGATGAGGTGCTTTGCATGGTATCCACGATTACATTGTGGCAAGCAGAAAGTCCGTGCAACAAGGGACAGCACGAGATACTTGTGCCTAGTCAAGTACATGAGGGAAAGCCCGAGCTAGCCTCGTGGTCAGTTGATCAACAGAAGTCGTGGAAGACGGTTACAGTTATTTGAAGATGTAGTCTTTATGTCGCGAGAATGACTAGTATTTGAATATGTCGTGAGCATAGAAGTGTAAATAATTGTGGAAGCTGTGGAATAAAAGTAATTGAATAAACTGACAGCATGTACAAAGGAGCCGACTGGCGTTTGTGTTGTCAACCCTAGACGTTAATGCAGTGCAAGTTTTGTAGCAGTAAACATCCAGAGAGTGAGCCGTGGCGAAAGCCAATATGTAGTGAGCCAAGGTACATTCCAAGTCAAGCTAAAGACTCATTTCAAATAGCAAATTTAAACGTTTAAAAAAAAAACACTACACTGCAAGCAGAAGTAATGATGTTTACCTCTCATGATTCCAAAAGCTGCAGAACGTCTGCGAAACGGCAGATCTAGCTTAAATGTTGAGCATATCATTTGCAAAAACTGAAATGAAATAGCAAGTACAAAGTTAGCTCCTTAAAATTAGACAGAATATAACAATGCCACTAAACAATAATCAACATTTATATAATTTAACAAGCTCATGATAAAATTTGTGAAAACAGACAACTAACAAAATTAATGTTGAGGATTGTATCTATGTAGGGTCATGATTACATTAGGCTGGAAGTGCAGAGAGTGGCCAGCGGAGGCTATTGAGGTGGAAGTAGAACAGTTGATTAACGACAATTCTCGCCCAGATGACCTGATTATCTATACACTTGATTCTGTGTTAGAGAGGGGAAAGAAGTGCCTGGGGTTGCGTAACGAAAGCCAATGGAAAATCTTTAGTGCAGGACAGCCTGGCATATGAGACCACAACATCTAGCATTGAAATGGAGGTGGAGGCAGTCACTGAAGCTTGCCGGTGGCTAAAGAACAAGATACATACACATGTCGTAATTGTAACGGACTCTGAAAGATGCTGGAAAATGTAAAGAGAGGATTGCTTCGAGCAGAGTGGCAAGGTCACGTGTAGTGAGCATACTTTGGATCTTTTCTCCAGACAATGCCGGTGTGGTGGGGAATGAACAGGCAGAGAGACTGGCTAGATCTGCACCACTGGGTGGTGAATTGATAAATGATAAGGCAGATGTGATCAAATACCTTTGGGACCAAGTAACGAAGTCAGAAAAGAAACTAGATCGTTATGGCTGGACAGAATGATGTACCTGGGTGTGACTAGGGGGTTGGGCCGGCACACTTCGCTCAGAGGAAATGCAAGACAGACATACAACCAGACTACGACTGGCACCATTAGTATTGGAACTCTGTGCTTGCTGCTGAGGATGGGGACGGAGAGGGAATGGGAATGCCCAGAGTGCTGTGATGTCAATTCTCTGCTCCCCTCGTACAATTTAAATTTGAAAGAGACTAAAAACAGAAATAAACCAGTCAGACTAAAACATAGGGACAACTAGGAATCGTCCATGTGTTACCAGGTCAAGCAAAGCAGAGTGACATTGCTGTATATCATGTGTGTCATAAAAGGTTACTAAGGCGGATTGGCTACTTCATCCACTATAACCTAGCTGCAAAATGCAACCGACCATGAACAAGCTACAATAGGTTTGGCATACATTGGTTGAGTGCCTGTGCTCGTTTGAAAGAGGAAGGCATATTTGGCATACAGGGATAGACCTTTAATTTACAGACCAAGCGGCACTCAGTGGGTGACGTGCTCAACATATGGAAGGCCGCCATTACTTCCCAGGATTGTACCTGGTACCCATTTATGGCTGGATTGACCTGGGAGCCAAGGTCTGAGAAGAATTTAACTTTCTTAAAATTAGAGAAGAAAACGTGAAACTGTAAACATAAACAAAGGTGTTACTAAAGCTACTGAATATTTTTTTTAAATACCTGTAAATAAAATCCACTGGCAGTCTCCAGGAACAAGTTCAGACTGGCCTGGGCCTCAGCTTTCTTTGGGTTCTGGATGAGCAACAAGATAAGTATAATAGTTTCTTTGGGTTCTAGATGAGCAACAAGAGAAATATAATAGCTTCTTTGGGTTCTGGATAAGCAACAAGAGAAATACAATAGCTTCTTTGGGTTCTGGATGAGCAACAAGATAAGTATAATAGTTTCTTTGGGTTCTAGATAAGCAACAAGATAAGTATAATAGTTTCTTTGGGTTCTGGATGAGCAACAAGAGAAAAATAATAAGTTTCTTTGGGTTCTAGATAAGCAACAAGATAAGTATAATAGTTTCTTTGGGTTCTAGATAAGCAACAAGATAAGTATAATAGTTTCTTTGGGTTCTGGATGAGCAACAAGAGAAATATAATAAGTTTCTTTGGGCTCTAGATAAGCAACAAGATAAGTATAATAGTTTCTTTGGGTTCTGGATGAGCAACAAGAGAAATATAATAAGTTTCTTTGGGTTCTAGATAAGCAACAAGATAAGTATAACAGTTTCTTTGGGTTCTGGATAAGCAACAAGAGATATAAGTTTCTTTGGGTTCTAGATAAGCAACAAGATAAGTATAATAGTTTCTTTGGGTTCTGGATAAGCAACAAGAGATATAAAATAAGTTTCTTTGGGTTCTAGATAAGCAACAAGATAAGTATAATAGTTTGTTTTAGGTTCTGGATGAGCAAAAAAAGAAGTAAAATAGTTTCTTTGGGTTCTGGATGAGCAACAAAAGAAGTAAAATAGTTTCTTTGGGTTCTGGATGAGCAACAAGAGATATATAATAAGTTTTTTGGGTTCTAGATAAGCAACAAGATAAGTATAATAGTTTCTTTGGGTTCTGGATGAGCAACAAGATAAATATAATAGTTTCTTTGGGTTCTGGATGAGCAACAAGATAAATATAATAAGTTTCTCTGGGTCCTAGATAAGCAATAAAAGTATAATAGTTTCTTTGGGTTCTGGATGAGCAACAAAAGAAGTAAAATAGTTTCTTTGGGTTCTGGATGAGCAACAAAAGAAGTAAAATAGTTTCTTTGGGTTCTGGATGAGCAACAAGAAAAATAAAAGTTCTGGATAAGCAACGAGAGAACTATAATAATGTCTTTGGATTTTGGATAACCAACAAGAGAAATATAATTGTTTTATTTTCTTGATGAGTAACAAAAGAAATATTATAGTTTCTTTGGATTCTAAATAAGTAACAAGAGAAATATAATAGTGTCTTTAGATTCTAGATGAGCAACAAGAGAAATTTTAAAGTTTCTTTGGATTCTGAATGAGCAATATAATAGTTTCTTAGGATTCTAGATAACCAACAAGAGAAAGATAATAGTTTCATTGAGTTCTTGAGGAGCAACATAAGAAATATGAGTTTCTTTGGATTCTGAATAAGTAACAAGAGAAATAAAATAGTGTCTTTGGATTTTAGATGAGCAACAAGAGAAATATAATAGTTTCTTAGGATTCTAGATAACCAACAAGAGATATATAATAGTTTTTTTGGGATTCTAGAAAAGCAGTAAGAGAAATATTATGGTTTCTTTATATTCTAAATGAGCAACAAGAGAAATATAATAGTTTCTTTGGATTTTGGATAGGCCGAACTATCCCCAACTCACCAGTGCCTACATTTACCAATTCTGCAGTAGGCACCATGAAATAAAAGTTGCCAACCAAATAGTCTAGCAACAATAGCCTAGCTAATTTCAACTAGTCTTCCCCTGGTGGGATGCAATTTTTTTGTTATTTGAAGCCCCACCTTGGCTTCTGCCAGAGGCCCTAAATATAGCCGGGTAAACAAATATGGCCTAGCCACAAATATGGCCTAACAGCTGAAAGGGGTTTCTGGAACCTCTCCACTGGTGATCCTCATCCGCATGGTGGCACCAGGTGTTTATTGCTTGTGTGATGTCCTGGTGGGGTATAACTACCAACCAACATAAATCCAAATTCATAAATGGCGTAAAAGGAGTTCTTTGCTTAATGAGCAAAATTAGACAAATTTAATTTATACTACCATGTTTAAAAAATACATTTTTATAATAAAGGTTGTGACCTAGAATGTTTGAAGACATAACACTGCACATCCCTTTCTTTTTTTTTCTAAGCATTCATCAGCTCTAAACATTTTAGCGGAAAGTTCTGCTTGTTCATCCAATTCTGAACTTGAGTCTTGTTTGTTCCAGACCTTGGGTTTTGGATGCCACATCTGTTTTACATATCTGGCTTATCTGTGTGCAAACTGATGGTTCCTCATTTCTTAGGTAGCTGTGCTCTGACGTCGACGCAAAAGTCCCCAATGAGCTGCCTTTCACAACATGCTTGTTAGCGGAGCAGTGGGTCTATCCACCCCCCCCACCCCCTAATGAAAATGGCGCCCCCAGAACCTAGGCAACTTCACGCTTGAATGGCACTAACAGCAATGGAACTAATTTGTATACATCATTTCTCATAAACAAAAACATATTTCAATTACCTGTCGATCTTTTGCTTGTGTCTGCAGGGTGTTGATCTGATTCTTAAATGCATGGTTCCATCTAGAATGGAAGAAATTCATATTACATGTAAACATAGCAACTAAAATTTTTAAAAACATTCTTCACTGAAAAGTTACTGAGGAAAACAATTGCTTCTTTTCTTAACATTCACTAGCTATAAACTCTGGTCAAAGATTATGGTTGTTCTTCTACTTCTAGAAATTGATCTTGTTGCAGAACATGAGTTTTGCATGCACAACAGTTTTACAGATCTGACTTATCTGAGGCAGTCTGATGATTCAACTGCTTTGCAGGCAGATGCACTCTGACTTGAAAAAAAAAAACATTAACTAGTCAACTTTTACAACCTACTTGGGGGAGGCTATTCTTGTTTTTCCTCCACAAGCAGGTTCCTTGAATCCACACAGGGAAATAACATTTTCTTTAAAGTTAGTTACAAGTCTGAATTTCAAGCTGAGAAAAACAACCTATAGAAGACTACAACATGTGTGATCCCCGTATACTTAGACCCTACCAGATGATATAAACCCTCACAGATGTTCTGAAGTGGTGCGCTGTGCAGACTGTCCTTGTGTGATCTCTCAGGAAAGTGAGAGAGTGGTCGGGAACTACATCACATATGGAGACATCCATCCTCGCGTAGCAGATCCTTTACGCAACATCGCTCGCATTATGGCACACTAGAAATTCACTTCGGCCATTGACAACTTTCCTACCTTATTAACTTTAAAGGGTGTCTTTGGTCCATGTGTCCACCATGTGTCTTAATTCACATAAAATAGTAAATGACATCTCAGACACTTCCTGGCACTGACAGAGGTCATACTTACAGTTCCTGCTCCACCTTTTTATCCAGAGCATACTCCAGATCCAACAGCAGCATTTTCTTGTACAGGTCTTCCAACTTCTGTCGGGTCACCCACAATTCGGAAAATGCTTTTCCTGATTCTAAGATAACAGCAAAAATCAAAAGATTTTAAACAGATTAAGTAAGCTGCAATGAAAGTCATCCATTACAAATCATGCTTCATAAAATTAAAGCATATCAGTGACACAAAGTCAAATTTTCCTGGTGGCTGAAAATGGAACACAAGAACCAAAACTCCTAAAAGTCATCCTTCTTCAGCGATCTCTGGTCATGTGCATAATCCACTGTGGGTCATAAACCGGGATGTCTTTTCAAGGTCTCTTAGGTTTCCCCAAAGCTTAGAATAGTTGTCAGTTCTACTGGGTGTTGCCATATGTCGTTTCGCAGCTCCGCCAGGAGAGGACAGTCTTGCAGGACATGTTCTGGAGTCTGTTCAGCACGAAGGCACTGGCAGAGAGCTATTTGGCTCATACTTAATTTATGTGAGTGTTTATTGAGTCTGCAGTGTCCAGTGCGTAAGCGAAAAACTGTGACTTGATCTGTTCTGTTCAAGTGTTTCAGAAAATCTTTTTCATAGTTATAACCAGTGTTGGTTTTCCAATCTGTTTCTGATTTTCTCTTAATGAGAGTTTTGACTTCTGGAAAAGATAGTGGCTGGTAGGTCTGTGGTTTGTTACTGCCTTCCTTGGCTAAAGCATCTGCGCTTTCATTGCCTTTGATGCCACAGTGAGACGGAATCCACTGCAAGTGAATTTCTGCCTTATTTTACAACATAGCAAGTTCATGTGTTAGACTTAAAAGTCATCCAATATTCATTACAAACCAAACTACATAATGAACAAATTGTTCATCAATTTACCCCTGCCATATTACAAAACATTTTAAGACAATGTAAGTAGCACAGCTCAGAGCATATTTATTTTCAGGGTTTAGGACAGCTTGCTGCAATCACCGTGAACTGCCCAGATTAGCAGTTTAATTTTAGCCTGACTTTAAAAAAAGTCCCAACATCTTACTGAGGATTCTTCTCCTTTGTTCACCGGCTGTAAGCTACAGCAGAAAGTCCTTGTTATTCGTCCATTTGGACTTTGGCTTTGTACCAGGGCCTGAGTTTTGCGTGTACATCCGTTTTAATGACTTATTTGTATGCAGTTGGTAGTTCCATGCCGCATGGGCAGATGTACTCCGACTTCAAAAGAAGTCCCTAATTAGTTGACTTCTACGACATGCTTGCTGGGAAGGCAATGGATCTCTTGTTGTTTTCTCCACAATAGAGACCGAGAGCCCACACGGGAAATAAGGATTCAATTTACTGCTCGGCCAGTGCCCTTAATTTCATGACCAACGTCAATCAACAGGTTTTTTATAGAACCTCGCTCTCATCATGGCATGCTTGAGTGTCTCTCTTTCCCTAGCTAATTTTTCAAACCCTGTGTACTTTCATACCCTGTTCATTTTCAACACCTTGTATCCACATTCGTGTAGGTCGGCCTCTTGTCTCGTTTAGCAGATACTGCATCCTCCATCACTGTTCTCTCAAGGCCACCAATATACATTCTGATAAATATGACAAATCCTGTAGTTGATACAATCTTTATATGTCATGATTTTTGCTCTTCGCGTATTAATGAAAACTTCTAAACAAAACATTTACTCACCTGACATAGTATTCTTGACAGCATCTGCTTGTCTGAAAGACAAAAACAACTATTCATTAGAGACAGTGTTAATTGGACAGATGCAACATGCAGGCAAAATCAATAATACAGAATAAACATTTGCATAAATGTATCAATAACTATTAATTTGATACAATGTTAAATACAAGTTTGCGAAATATGTGTCATCTATTTTAACATAAAAATTACACACAAAAATAATCTCTATTTCATAAATATCATATCATCATATGGATATACAATCCGACGGTTACTGGCACCATCATAATTGGAACTCTTCGCTTACTGCTGAAGATGGGGACTGAACACTAATGGGAGTGTCCTGGGAGCTGTGACATCAATTCTGAATTCAACATTCAATATCATATCTTCTTTTTCTGCTTTTTATTCCCCAATTGGAGCACAGGCTCTCAATCAAGTCAACCTATCGAAAGCAGCTCACATCATGTCCTCTCCATCTCTTTTACTTTATTCTCTAGTTCCCTTCTCCATTGGTTTTTGGTCTGCTTCCATTTCTGTGTCCTGTCAGGTTCCAGTGCAAAAGACTGTTCTCACATTTTCTTAATGTGTGTCCTATCCAATGTCAGCATCTTTTCTTCACCTCTTGATTCACTGGAATTTTGGCCAAGAGAAACAACGGTGCAAGGCAAACTTTATGGCTCACTGAGTAAATTACAAAAGACAGTTATGTTTATACTAGAGACAACATTACAGGTACAGATAATTTATTTCAAGGTAACAAAAAAAGAAGAAGAACTGGAACTTGTTTAGTTCTCTCCTAAAGCTTGATATTAGTGATTTTATCATACCATTTATTTCCCTTGATGATGTGCAGGCCCCAGGTAATGAATGTTTGTAGTCTTTTAGTGACTGTTTTAGTGAAAATGTTTACATATATACAAATATTAAAAGCTTGACCACAATATGGAACTCTAAATGTTATCGGTTTAGAACCAAGTTATGTATTTTCAATTCAAATGTTATTTCAGTTTGAACACATGCTAGTGGATGTTGGAGAACCTTTAAGACATGGAATGAAAGTTAAATGTATTCAAAACAAATGCCTGAGGAAAATGCTGAAAACAGAATGGGATGAATTCAAAAGCAGTGAAGAAATAAGAGAAATGTCTAGGCAATCACTAGTATCTATAGTTGTAAGACAGAGAAGATGGTGCTATACCAGACATATTCTGAGAAAATAATAAAACAGACACTGAAACTGGAAATAGTTAGACTGAGGAAACAAGGAAGACAACATCCGACAGTTCCTAACTGACAGAGGACTGGAATGGAACAAAGCCAGGAAAAAACTGCTGATAGAGACGTCTGGCGATCTCTCTGGCAAACCCCAACACCCCAAGGTAGAAGAGGAGTGACTAAGTAATAGGAAACAATGAGAAAAGCAAGTGTTGGACTGGATTCCACACGGCGGAATGGAATGGAGGAATAGACTGCGAGCTTCATGTGACATAAAATGGCATAATAGAACAATGAATGAACAAAAGAAAAAAACATTTAATGAAATATCAATCATACCTCAACCAGAACATACCTCATAATCTGGGCAGCCACTGTAGAGCTCATCCTTGCTGGAGTCTTGTAAGGCTTGCAAAATGAACTGCAAATGTCACCTCACAGCTGCACAGTCGGTCTACAATTATTAAACATAATCTTATAAATAAACAAACATAAATTATATTGCTTATTCCAGGTTGACCCAGCATAAACTAGGTACCAGCTAAAGTCATGGGATGTCAAGGTGGCCTGCATTATGTTAACCATATTAGCCACCAAGTGTCGGCTGGTCTATAAAATACAGGTCTTGCACCATATATCGGCGTCTGTGGCTTAGGTGTTGCGAACACGCTTCGTAATGCCAGAGTGCTGGGTTCGATCCCAGCTGCAGGTCTTGCACCTTGCCTTGGTTTCGACAGTGGTATCGAGAAACCGACAGTCTAGAAAGCTATGGCAAATGATTGGGTGTAAATTTTCCCAGAAAAACAACAGCCAAAAAATGCTGAGGTTGGTTCTCCAAAATCCTGTAAAGGATAGACAACTAACTAACTAGCATATATACTCGGTATACCTGTAGGCATGGAAATAGGTACTTTTCTTTTAATTTTATTGCTTATCTATATTTGCTTCCTGTGTAACTTTTGCAGCCCCATTTGGCAGGAAGTCGCCATCAAAACTGTTTGTGCTACTGACTAGATAGCATGTTGTGAAGAATGGGTTACAGTGCTGCCAAGCAAAACAGACCTGAACAGAGTGATAGTCACCTTGAACCGAGGGTGTCGAGAATGGATAGCTAGTGGAGTCAGCAGTGCAATAGGTGATCAAAGATAATTCATGCCCAGGTGACATCATAATATACAGAGATGAGTCTGTAGTGAGAGGTAAGAAGAATGGGGTGGATTTTATTGCAACAGTGAATGGACACTGCTTGAAAACAGAGAACCATGCGTACAACTTCACTACATACAATATGAGAGTGGAAGTGGATGCAGTAATGGCAGCTTTCTGGTGGCCTGAGAACAGCATAGTCCAACATGTGAATGTAAAAGACATACAAATCATGCTTCAGAAAACTTAAATGTGTGTCCTGCGCGCAGAGTGGCTTATATCACTTTATAAGACCTAGGTCAAGAACATATCATGGATTTTTGGGGACTTTTAGTAATTCCCCCTGGTCTCTGGTTAGTGAGATTGGACGCCCGTGTGCATTGTTGCGCACATAAAAAGTCCCTTGGCAGTTGGAAATCAAAAAGAGTAGCATAGCGGCACTGCCCCGGCAAAATCTGGAGTTTAAAAATTTACCCAAAGTATTTCAGGATCCTCGCGGTGCTACAAAGAATGTGCACTGTGCTGAGCTTCTTTGGACTCAGACTTGAGTTAGAAGAAGAACGGAGCACTTATGGGTTACTACCCGTGTGCCATGATGTTGATCCATTGTTTAAACCTCAAACTTTGGAGAATCGTATGTAATATCCCTGCTGCATATTCATGTTGTGCCCCACAAATAGTGGCTCACATTAGCTTAAACTGAGCTGGCAGAGGATCCCAGAGCAGGTGGCCCCCAAAAAGTGCAGTCTCCAGAAGACTATTGGCCCACATCAGCTCACCCACAATGCACAGATGATAAAGTCAATCAAAAACTCATCTGGAAAATGAGAGAAGTCTAGTAGCAGAGTTTCCTACTAAATGAAATATTTTGGTTCAAACGTCTGCTGACCGAGAGTCATACTAAATGTAACTAATAGTAAAATATTTGTCTATCAACTAAACAGAACTTTTATGTTCAAATGCCAGCTTATCAAGTGTCTTACTAAATGAACGCCAAGATAAATGTGATGACCATAAGGCATAGCCATGCAATAGATATATGCTTTCAATATACTGCCCCCCTGTGTGGGTTCCGGGGCCCCATTGTGGGGAAAACAAGAATAGACCCACTGCCTCCCCAAAAGCATGTTGTAAGAGTCAACTAATTGGGGAGCTTCCTTTGAAGACGGAGTGCGTCTGCCGGAGAGGCAAGGAACCAACAGTCTGTATTCAAGAGAATGAGATCTGTAAAACTGATGCACACGCAACACTCAGGTTCTGGAGCAGGACTGCAGTTCAGTAGTAGACGAGCAACCAGAACCTTCCGCCAGAGTTTACAGCTGGTGAACGCGAAGAAGAAGAAGAAGAATATACTGCCGTACCAAAGGCTGTCGTGTGAAAGGTGTCATTGGCTTTGAGAGAATTTTAATACAATCAGGAAGTGAGATAACCATGCTGTGTGGATCATCAAAGTCTTATGTCTGTTGACTGCTTCCTGGAGATCCATAAAGGAGCAAGCCCATGATGAAAAGAAAGCTCAATATATGGATGTGAGGTTAAGCAGTCATGTGCAGGATGTGGTGATTCCTAGCGATGATTCTTTGGGTCAGCCCAGTACCCGTGCACTAATGTATCAGCTCTGCATTTACGGAAGCCTCATTTGATGATGCGAAATGCTTACGGTAACCTACCCTGACCTTCCCTTGAGGGCCAACCAGTCTGCACGCAGTGGTATAAGATGTATCCTTTAAGGACAAAACCTGTGGATCAGGGGATGACAAAGTCGCCACACAACAGAGACTGTGAACAGTTTTACAAAACTAACCAGAAAGGCTAACCCAGAAAACAAATGCCCAAAGCAGTTGGATGTCTTGCAAAGGATGCAATTATTGCAGTTATGCTGAAAAAAAGGCACAAAGAAATCATATCACTTTGGAGAGCCTTTTTGGAGTTTCAGTGCCAAGAAGACGGAGCCTACAAGAGGGGATTTTCAAAGTTTTTACCTAGTCCAGAAGTGGACAAACAACCAGAACTTTCTGCCAGAGTTTACAGTGGTGAAAACTAAGACGACTCCGGTGAATGATGAAGAAAAGGAAGAGTCAAGAATCATGATGAGTTATTATGTTACTCAGATACGTTTTAGCACAAATTTAAAGACTGTTAAAGGTTTTAACTCTTAAATGATGTAAATAAAGCTTATGCATATTATTTTTCTGAATTTTTACTTACTGTTAAAGAATAAGAGTTAATTATTTACTTGGTTGTGAAAAGTATGTTAATTAACACTATAAGCAATTCATAATAGTGTGAATAATTAAGGTGTAATTATTATGAAATATTCTGTGGATGGCTTATAATTTTCTCTGCCTTGATAAAGTTATAAGGCTGTCAAAAATCACTTTTCTTCCTCTACCGCTCACTGCATAGACTGTCCCAGCTGTCAAATAATCTCTTTTCTTCTACTACTTCTCACTGCATAGACTGCCCCAGCTGTCAAAGAATCTCTTTTCTTCCACTATCTCTCACTGCATAGACTGTCCTAGCTGTCAAATAATCTCTTTTCTTTTACTACTTCTCACTGCATAGCCTGCCCCAGCTGTCAAATAATCTCTTTTCTTTCACTATCTCTCACTGCATAGACTGCCCCAGCTGTCAAAGAATCTCTTTTCTTCTACTACCACTCACTGCATAGACTGCCCCAGCTGTCAAAGAATCTCTTTTCTTCCACTACATCTCACTGCATAGACTGCCCCAACTGTCAAAGAATCTCTTTTCTTCTACTACATCTCACTGCATAGACTGCCCCAGCTGTCAAAGAATCTCTTTTCTTCTACTACATCTCACTGCATAGACTGCCCCAGCTGTCAAAGAATCTCTTTTCTTCTACTACATCTTACTGCAAAGACTGCCCCAGCTGTCAAATAATCACTTTTTCACTATCTCTCACTGCATAGACTGACCCAGCCGTCAAAGAATCTCTTTTCTTCCACTACCACTCACTGCATAGACTGCCCCAGCTGTCAAGGAATCTCTTTTCTTCCACTATCTCTCACTGCATAGACTGCCCCAGCTGTCAAAAAATCTCTTTTTTTCTACTACCACTCACTGCATAGACTGACCCAGCTGTCAAGGAATCTCTTTTCTTCCACTATATCTCACTGCATAGACTGCCCCAGCTGTCAAAGAATCTCTTTTCTTCCACTACCACTCACTGCATAGACTGCCCCAGCTGTCAAGGAATCTCTTTACTTCCACTATCTCTCACTGCATAGACTGCCCCAGCTGTCAAGGAATCTCTTTTCTTCCACTATCTCTCACTGCATAGACTGCCCCAGCTGTCAAAGAATCTCTTTTCTTCCACTACCACTAACTGCACAGACTGCCCCAGCTGTCAAAGAATCTCTTTTCTTCCACTATCTCTCACTGCATAGACTGCCCCAGCTGTCAAAGAATCTCTTTTCTTCCTCTACCTCTCACTGTATAGACTGTCCCAGCTGTCATGCTGATAATGGTAAAGTTTTAAAGATTCATCTAGTTGTCAAGTTCCAGTTTTTCTCTCCTTATAATGTCGCCAAAAATATGATGGGCACTATTTTATATTTGTGACAAGTAGTTTTCGTCTCTAAACTCTTTCAGTCCCAAACAAAGAATGCAAGACTTAAGTTTAGTCTTTCCTCTTAGATTGGTAAAAAGCATTCCAATGCTTCCCTGACTTTTTGTACATGATGAATGTTATCAGAGCATTAACAAATCTAGCTTCCACTTTGGGTGTTTCTTATATATGCAGTCGATTCAGGAAAGTAATGCACTCAGAATGGTGGTTATATCACATCACTTAGCTATTCTCATGGAACAAATACATTTTTTTTCTTTTCGTTTACTGGCTGTGAACTCCGGCAAAAGATACTGGTAGTTCGGACTTTTACCTGGACCTGAGTTTTGCATGTACATCTATTTTACTGGCTTATTTGTTTGCGGTTCTTTGCTTCATCGGCAGATGTACTCCGACTTCGAGGAAAGAACAAATTTTAAAAAAGAGTTAACTTACACAAAACACTCAGGACTCACTCAAACTGTCTTGGCCAGATTTATTTATAACTTTGTCTATCCTGGGGAACTTTGAAACTCTTTGGAATGTAGTATTAATTAGGAAGGCAAAATAAAAGAACTGTGCCGCAGGTGTTAAAGTTCCCTCATTACAAACAATTCAAATATGTTGATCTTCAAGAAGAGATCTTTCGTTTTCTGTCTAAGCAGCTAGC